GGTATGGTCGTATGTGATCATTCTACATATGTCCAGCACTTATATTTGCTGGTCTAGCATGCTTTCTTTTGCTTGTCTCCTTCTCCCTCATGTCTATCACGGTGAACCGATCTAAAACGAGTAACTCGATACTCGATTATCACAAGTTGACGACAACAAATACATTAGTGCAGAACCTGTCAGGCGTTGATAGAAATCTGATGTGAGAGAATGCATACGAGCAGTGACTGAGAGGTGGAGGGAAAATTCCAGGATTTCACTCCCTCCAACTGCTTCAAACACTTCCTATCCGGCAGCGTCGATGCGCTCAAGACCAGTGAGGCTCTGACACTCCGGCCTATCTAGCGCAAATCAACTCGAAATTTGTCCAAATATTTCATTATTCAGAAAGTGCAGTATCTCAACATTTCGAACTACTCTACTTACTGTGTTCCTATCGTTCGTCCCCAGCCCGGTTCGCGACAATGAACCCAACGAACGCCGTGCTTGTCCAGATCTACGCCACGTACTCTGAAGACGCATGCCGCGAGAACATGAGGTTGCGAGTTGTGCGATCGTACATGACGGAAATGGAAATCCCACTCATGGATTGAGGCTCTTTCCGTACCGGCATCGTATCTGCTATGGGCACTACAGCAGGGCAGCGGCGATTGCATCGATTTTCGGTGCTGCTGGTATCGTCCCAACGATCCTTACATTAAATGTCAAAGCGGTTTGCTGAACAGCTGAAGCAGGACGAGGCTAACGCTTCGTAATGGATGCAGCAAAGCCAAGAAGTTGTGGCATGGCGATTTACGGCAAATTGGGTGTGGGAATCATCCGAAGGATTGACGATTGTGGCCGGGTGAAATGTACTTTCTGGACATGAGGAAAGCTTTGTGGAGGTAATACAGGAATCTCTGGGGGGTTTCCTAGTCCTGTCTTGATATGCCGTGACGGTCTAACTGCTGTTATTAGGCGTTAGACATTGCGACGAAGCCAGCAGATGCTCAGAAACACCCAACCATTGAACCCAGAGCCGCCTGTACACAGCAGTCACCCCTTTCGTCGACGGCTCCGACTTACCTACAGTAATAATATCCGAAGCCTGCTCCTTGAATCGAATAGTCCCTGATGCTCGTATAAAGCGCCAACTAAACCCCCCCTACCGCACCATTGAGCCCGGCCACAAGCCATGGTTCCATCAAAGGTTGGAAGGACTGCACATCACGTGTTGTAGCGAATATCTGGATAGCGTCTGTAGGGAACTGTAAAGAGTGAGCAATGCAACTGGGTCGGGCAAATTATCTGGGTGCCGGTGCAATTTGGCAGTCTTTCTACGAAGAAGATGAGGTCAAGATACCCGACAGTTTGCGGCTGAGCGGGTTTAGCATTGGCACTATGACTGAAAAGTGACAGAACCATGGCCAGCCAGACGGAAAATGATATGTTTGGGAGAGACCGGAGTGAGACGGTTGGTCCAGGCGCCATCTTGTCTGTCAATGGAAAGCTAGGGCTCGGCTTTCTTGGTTTGATTAGGTTGAGGAAGGGGAGCAAAAAGAGAGTATGGTGCGAGTTCAGATACTTATGAGAACATCCCTAAAAGGTCAAGACGGTGACCATGTCGAGATGCGCGTCAAGAGAATTTGAAAGTTGGGCTTCAACACTATCTAGACCTCCGTTCCCGTATGGGCAGTATAGTATTGGATGGCTTGTGGTTGGAGGCCAATGAATCTCTTAATGATTGATGTCAAGTTAGATAGACCGCGCTGTCTCGTGTGATTTTGCCGTTATGATAAAGGGCACGAGAGGCTCGGCGGTCGTCGCTGACAATCACGCAGACTTCTTCTGCAATTGCTTCCTTTCGTCTTCGAGTGTAGATGTTCCATTGACTAATCGGAACGTACAGGAAGACTATCAGAATGAGGAGCTCGTTAGTGGCGATTGACTGAATGTAGCTAAAAGACGTGAGGGGTGACGGGCGTGACGGGAAGGATCGACCCAGCCGTTCCGTTGTCCTCGCCCATGACGTCATTGGACCCTTAATCCGCCACAACAGTCGTGTTGCGCCTTCTTTCGAACTTGCTTACCGTCGCGAACTCGGAAGTGATGGGAAGTTTTCGGTCTGGTGACTGGTGATCTCACGGTTCTTTCCATTATGACGGAAAATGAAGTGGTTCCATTGAATGACAACGAATCCAAGTCTTGCTGGGGAGGTAGAAATAGGTCAGCCCCCCATTCACGCCATATTCATACATTGACCGAACCGAAACCACAATACCAACATCAACCTTCATCTACCTAATTTTCTTCCACCGCGCCATCCTAATTGCGTGAACCGAAGTCACCTCACCATCTAATATTCACATCAAGAACTGAACCGAGCACCCTACGAAACCCCACATCCAAGCCTTCACGATGCAAAACTCAATGTCACAAGCATACGCGGCACCTTCCTCGATCCCCAACACCTCGACAGAAAAGCCCCATTATGATGCCCCTTCTGCTGCTACTGCGGGCACAACATACCCTCAAGCCGATCCCACAACTGGTACTACCGCCGCCGCCGGCACAACACCAGCTACCAACCGCCCGACTACAGCAAGCACCTATGGCAACGAAAAGTCGGTAGCCAACACCCCCGCCGTCACTAAGACACGCTTCGGCGCTTCCGACATCATCCTCTTCATTCTTGCCATCTTCATCCCGCCCCTGGCTGTCTTCTTGGACCGCGGCTTCAAGGTTGACTTTTGGATCAACATCCTCCTAACCATCCTGGCCTGGTTCCCTGGCGTCATCCACGCCTGGTATGTCCTCTTCAGGCATCCCACCGGCAGGGACTAGAGGTCCAATCCGGAGAAAAAGTCAGTAAAGCACTCGCAGACACGCTTGGCTGCCCGGCATCCAGTTGAGCCTTGGGAGAGTCGGGCGTCTACGTCCTTGAGTTAATTGAGCATCACAAAATCGGGGGAAAGGAAGGACATATGGTGCATAATTGGATACTGCAAGAGCATTGCAGAGTTACACGATACCCTCACGTTGTATTTTTCATCATTGCCGATTTGGTAATGAACAAGAATACAGACTTATCCTACACAAACAAACTCGTCAAACCTGATTGTCTGTCCGCGTTGCCGTTTCCCACTTTCATCGCAGTTCCCTCCTCGGCGCCAACTCCCTTCTAGTGTTTTTATGGTCCGTCATTAGGAATGCCCAGGTATCTTGTCCTTGTGGTACCATCCTGGGGATTATCTTCTATGAGAATCAACCGTCTCATATATACCCATGATGTGGGGGGTTTGGGTAATGGATGGTTGAGGGACTTGGGGCGTTTGATGAGTAGTAGTTACCCGCAAGTCCCGAAGCGTCTTTATCCAAAGCTTCATCAGGAGGTGGGTCGAAGCGATGTCGACGCCTACCAAGCTTGTATGGGGGTTCATCGCAATCAGCGAATTCAGCCGGACACAGATCAGACATGATTTATGTACATCTCAATTGTACCTTCCATTGGCGTTGATGACCTTCTTTCAATAAGAAGTAAGCCGTCACAACACTGACTACATATGCTGGTCCAGAGATCTCAACACCATCATCAGGCAAGATGGCCGAGCGGTCTAAGGCGCCACGTTAAGGTAAACCCTTAATCCTCCTCAAGGAAATCCGTGGTCCGAAAGGGCGTGGGTTCGAATCCCACTCTTGTCAAAACCATTGTATCAACCGAGCTCGGGTTGAGTCAAACCTCTTTTTCGAGGTTGATGTTTTTTTTTTCGTGGCTCACGAGTCATGTCGTGCCCACCCACACGCAAAAAAGGGCTTGCACAGTAATTTCCCCTACAAGTGCAAACTTTCCTTTATACAAATACTATTTTTCAAGTGGCCTACTAATTGTAAGCTTTTTTTTAGCAGTCCGGATTTCGAGTCTTGTACGGAAGTAAGTCACCAGCGAGTGCAAGCTGTTCCCTATAGTGCCCGAATCTTTTGCACCTGCGGAAACATTACTGTACTCTTATGTCGCCGGAACCTCGATGTCAGCTTATAAATGGTAAGATGAAGTTATATCATCACATACGACCATACCCACTGGAAAACTCGGGATCCCGTCCGCTCTCCCATAGATAAGCCAGTGAGGGCCAGACTAGTAGTTGGGTCGGTGACGACCAGCGAATCCCTGGTGTTGTATGTCTTTTTTGCATTTTTTACCTTTCTCTACGTATATCTTCGGGTTGCATCCCTCCGTTCTGCTCACTCTTTTGCAGTAGACACGAGTGCATTGTCGTTTTGAATGAGAAGATATGCCTATAGTCTGGAAAGTCACGTTGTTAATTACACTTGATTGAGAGAGGTGCCGTTGTCAGGTAACACATGTACTTCCAGTAGTTATTCTATAAAGACAAGTAAAAGAAGTAACAACGAACGGGCTTGATAATAAAATTCGCAAAGGTAGGAAGGAGCTTCACATGGGTCGGTTCTAAAGACCTAACAAAAAAACCTAGGTAACTTTTCTTCCCCTCTCGTGCTCTAACCGTTAACCAAAAGTTAAAATATTTGCGATTGTTGTTACTCTAACGTTCATTCACGTCTCGGAGACGGGAAAAAGACAGGCATGCATGCACTCACACCATCTGCGACATGCTATTAACGAATGACTCAGCTAATAGTAGGTAGAACCAGGTTGCGCAAAAAAGAAAAAAAAAGAAGATGCCCAATAACAGGATTGAACTGTTGACCTTCGCATAACTTGATATCTCAAAGAAGATATTAGTACGACGCTCTAACCAGCTGAGCTAATCGGGCAGTTACTAGTTGTTGATAAACGTTGACAATCAGGAGTCTAAGAGCGCATGACACCACTCGAAACGGGGTCCTCCTTTTGCGTCGTAGTCCCTCGGCTGTGTACCTGTCACTCCCCTTTTCTCCATGTTCAGACATTATAGTAGGGGTCAACATTCATTGGAGAAACTCATGGCTGTCGAAATAATCAGAATTTAGTGATGCAGGAGTGAAAGATGATTGGTTGTAAGGAACGGATTGCGAGCGTTGGTTGAGCGGGCCGGCAAGTGCTCAGACCATTCAGGCTCGCTGACGACCATGTCTCCTTCAAATCGAACTAGTCTTTTGTCACAGATCATTGTAGAACCCTCAAAGAGGAGTTCCCGGATTGCTCTAAGCATTATTTGGGAAGAATTAGGCTAGTGATTGTATCTGAAAAAAGCTGAGCTCGACGGTGATGGGAGGGTGAAACCCAGTTCAACTGGACGATTGAGGATCTGAGAAGAAGCCATTTTTTTGCATGCATGTGCCGTCACTGGCGTGTGTGTGTGTCGGTTTACCATATATCAATCAGTGATTTGGCCTTGAAGCCAGGCCTGGTGCAGTAAAGTAAAAATGAGTTTTATGAAAAGGTCAAATGGAAAAGCATCGTGATGCTGAGTACATATCATAATTTCTCGACTCATTAAGCAGTAATGACACACATGGGTACTCGGGTACATCGATCCAAGAAGGAGGTCGGAAGACCATCAGAACAAGAATAGACTATCATTTCACATCAGCAGGAAACTATCTATTACGCTAACCCGAAAATCGATACCCCGAGCACTGGCGTGTACGTCGAGTGAGAGAACTCTTGGACTCGTGGGCACAAGAAGCGTGATGATTGTGCTAAGCTAAGGACAAGGAAGGAAAAGAACTGTGGAGGGCTAAAATACATAGTGGTGGCGCCCTAATGGGCCCCCACATGTGACCAAGCAATTCGGGCATGCCAGTGAATGGCAATCTGGGCGCTCCACACCACAACAAGAACTCGTGTCAACCACATGGTTGAGCATGATGCATGGAGGACTGAACTTCAGTCAAGTGCGCGATTCACCGACGCCGTGAATGCTCGATTTACTAGGTAGGTTTGTGGCTGTGATTTCTGCCTCGTCAAAATTTCCCTTTCCCATCAGTCCCGGATTGTTGCCATGGACGGTGCAGTGTTGCTGGGTGGCAGGCGCAAGTCGGTTTGTTCCCGGAAGCGGCAAAGGTCACGGTCCCCGGGCCCCGCCGTGATGCATTCCCCGCACTCGACATCTGTGTTGGCCGCACCTGCCACAACGAACCAAATCCATCCAGGGACCAGGGAAAATCACCAGTCTGGTGTGAAAGCGTCGATATCCACGGAGCGCCGCTACCTAACTCTGCTCACTCTCTGTCACTCAACCAAGTCAGTCCGACTCCTTGGCCATGGGGATCGAGACATATGTTGAGTTCTCGATCGCCTTCTCGGTATGCTGCCGTTTGCCCCTTTCACATTCACAATCACCACTAACATGAAATTAGGGTGTTCGTTGGCCAACGTCTGCTATCAAAACTAGACCAGAGTTGTTTATCTTGATCATATTTATATACCGACTAGTCCGTCCCGTCATGTCTCCCGCAACGTCGCTCAAAGCCCAGACTGCCAGTCACTGGGCTTTTACATCATGACATCCGAAATGTACAATATTTTCTCGTCGTAAAATACATGACCGCATTATGCACCGATTGGAGAAACCCACTGGGGGCTTGGCTGGCGCGGAAAACTCCCGTTTCTTCGGCAGTGAGTGCCTAGCATCATGGTCGTACGGTAACACACCAAAGACAGAGGTTTTACCGTCCAAGTCCCAGGCCTAGCCTCTCGACAACCAATAGTTTGACAACCAGACTCAAAGAGCGGATGAAGTAGGCAACAAAACATCAGAACCACTCCTAAGGTTTGTTGTCCTTTGCCGCCTTCTCGCCCCCTTTACCGGCATTCTTCTTGGCTGCCTTTTCCTTAGCTGCCTTCGTCTCCTCTTCTTCCTTTTTCCTGCTGTCTTCTTCTTCTTTCTTCTTACGGTCCTCCTCTTCCTTCTTTTTGCGCTCCTCTTCCTCCTTCTTCCGCTGTTCCTCACGCTCCTTTTCTTTTCGTTCCTTTTCGGCGAGAATGCTCTTCTGTTCGGCTTCCGAAAGTTTGCCCCAAGCGGCAACGTTTTCGTCCCCTATATAACATGTCAGCTGAACTTGTCGGGAAAAAAATAATCTGAGGATATAGACTCCAGCTTACACTTTTTGACACATTCGTCAACCCAGTTACACTGTTCGACCTCACCGTATGCCGGGTGTTTATATCTCGGGTGTCGGCTGGGCCAATTCGAGGCGTGGTAGTGGTGCTTGACCAGGGCGGCGCGCGCGTCATGGTTGCCCGAGTTGGAATGGCCCTGGCCAGCAGCAAAGGCCTCAACCGTCAAGACCAAAACGCGGCTCACAAGCTTGGATTCCCCCAGATCGTGGAACGTATCCCAGGTGATCGGTTTACCCGGATTATCGCTGGCATCGTTGATCTCGGCGATGATGGCGTTGGTGAAGGCTGATGGGCCTGTTCCGCTGATGATCTGGTCAAAATCGAGCTTGACTTCGGCAAGCGGCACACCTTGCTCTTTAGCAACCCCGTTCAGCCAGGTCATGATTTGCTCAATCAGCCTCATCATGACTGGCAGTTGCGGCTTGCACATGAAAGTCCACTGACAAAACGAGCGCGACTTGGGTCCAAGAATGGGATGGTCCTTCCAATCGGGCTCGTCGATTTCGACGCCAATGACCATATCAATATCAGCCATGTCGTACCGCTCTGGCACAAATTTCGAAAGCGGCTTGAGGGCTTCAACATCAATGTCGGCATAAAGACCGCCCTCGGCGTACATGACTAGGTATCGCAAGAGATCGGCCTTGACAATTGCAGCCTTGACGCTTCGGTAAAAGTTGACGATATCGGGTCGGTTGAATCCGTCGGGGCCGAAATGCCACTCGACGTACTGCATGTCATTGCTGTCGGTCAGAACTTCGTATCGGTATGAGGGATTCTGTCCCACCCAGGACCGCGCAGTGTCGAGATCACGTTGCTCAAACGCAAGCGGGTTGACTTTCCAAGTCTGCCATATCTTTCGCGGAAACTCGGCGCGCGTGTACTTGGGAATATTATGCTTGGTCGCGACGTGAGGGAGAACGAACGTTGTGTCTTGGACACCTGAGTGAAAGAGTGTTACGTTCAAAAGGAAAAGGACTAAGACGACAACCGCGATGTAAAGAGGCGCGCCGCGCCGAAATTGGGTCGGCAAACGATTTCGGAATTGCGCCGTTGTGGCAGCCAACTTGGGAGAGCCCAACGGCGATACCAACTTGGCGATCATCACGGGCAGGTGCACCAGACTGCAGCCCTTGAAGCGCGTGGCATCAACTGTGAGGAAACGCGACGATGATAGCGGCGAGAGTTGGCGAGTAGAGGATGGGAGCGAGTGAATCAAGGACCAAAGTCGCGAGAGGAGGGAAGGGAGAACAAAAAAAGTGGCGCCCTCAGGGTTGATGATGGACCGATGAAGATGCGGAGGAGGAACAAAAGGCCGAAGACATCACCAATTCTCTTTCCCCCCCCGCCGGGTCCCTGTTTGGCTATCAAGCTTATCACTTGCCCGGTCGCGCGTCTGTTGCAAAGATCACCCTGGGAATGCCTCAATGTCGCGGTGATTTGTTCCCTCGAGGAAGCCAGATTGACAGGGGCGTGCCTGCCAGCCACCAATCATCCGGCAAGCAAGCCACTCTTCCATCCCAAGTCCTACATCGTAAAATGGTGCGGACGAGAAGGAATTGAATTTCGAAGAGGGTTTCGGTTCTGGACCGATCATTGTCCCGTAATCGACCAGTCACAGTGGATAGAGGTCGTCCCAGGTTCTTCCCCGGTTCTTCCCCGACAAGGGAAATCCACTGATTCTGCAAAGACTGATTGCCAACATCAAGACAAGCAATCCCGACCATTGAGCAAAACCCCTGGTCGCAACCTGTGAATTGGACGAAATGTTTGGGTAAATGGGGGTACGGGAATTCGATATCAGATGCTGTGGCAGAGAACGCATATTCCATTCCTTATCATATCCCGCAAGCGATCCGAGCGGTGTTATGGGTCATGCATTTCAACAGAATGGTGACCGGGGCTGAAGTAGTATGATGAACATGGGAATGAATATGCGTTAGATTGGATTGGCTGTGCACTTTTGGGTTAGTGATAGTGGCTGCTGGAGGATGTGACTGAGACAATTTCCTGTCCGAGAAGATGCAACCCACCAATGTCGTAGTGTACATTCTGTAGGACCAGTCTGTACCCTAGAGCTCACCATCTGCTGCTGTCACCTAACAAGGGCAGGCTTCGAGATTCAAGATGGAGGCAGAAAAAATAGTCGCTGTCGGCCACTGGCCAGTGCCGTCCACACGACCATTACGATGCATTCCAAGAGATGTCCTCCCTTGGCCGTACGCTTGCAATCGTTGCAGAGCCGTATGCCGGCAGTGAGACCCGTCTATTCGGGATCACCGCGTCAGAAAGAGGCCTCGACTTCCCCTCCCCAGTAGCGCGATTGGAGGACGGGTTTTCCATGGTTGTGTCCTGCATCCAATGATTAGCTCGGATTCGACTTGCCTTGCTAAGCCCTATGATGAAATTGTTTACATCACAGTCGGGTATAGGGCCGTGCTTTCAAGCTCAACTTTTCAGCGCATGAAAACCCATTTCGCCAACCGTTCGCCCCTCATCCTATTCGGTTCAACTATATCACCCTCACATTATTCGTGGGCCTGTTTATATGAACAGATCGATTGATAACGTTCGACATCGTGCCAATATGAAGTGTGATGACTTGCGCGTGAATTTCATCCATGCAACAGGTGCTATCAAGCTATGCGATGATCAACCGGGCGTGCCTGGCCTGGCCCCCGCCCTGCCCCCTGCCCCTCCCGCTAGCGCTACGCACTATGGTAACACCCGCCCCCCTGAGGTTCCAAATTGAAGTAACTCCAGTTTTCTCGTGCGCGTCCCAGATCGCAACGTCGGCGACCTTTTCATCCTCCTTGTATCACTTTTATCTTCTTTCATTTCTTCTCCTTTTTTCTTTTCTTTACAGACTCTTCTGTCGCCTAACATCCATCTTGCAGTTTAACAAACACGTGTCGTCGCGTATGAAGGACCTCGTCCCGCGCTTCAATAAATGACGGCCTCAGGGCGCCTGATAAGATGATTTGGCACATTCCCCTTACGGTAACCAGGGCGTTCAGTGCGACGCGACATGCTGGCACGAAAGGAAATATCTAAAGCGGTTGATCTGAGGAACCAAATCGCCAGCGCGGTAGCATCCCTTTCCCTATGTATGGTACCCGACGGACACAATTTTCGTTCACCAAGTTGGAGTGCCTTGCGTTGTTACCGTGCAAGTGCCCGGAACGTGAGGATATAGCAATGAGCTGCGCATCACCACTCTGTCGCTCGGCCGTCTCAATCACGCACCAGCGAAATAACGTGAAGAGGGTCGGACAATCATTAAGTTCAAAGCCATTACGCTCACATGGAACCGACCGCCCATAGTCCAGTTATCCTTTCTACCCCGCAAGTCGAGACACCATTTCTAGACACACCTCACCTTTATATTAGGAATATTTCAGGTGTTATAGTCATGCGAGTCTCATGGTACCACTTCGAGCACATACTTCTGAGAGAACCCAAGAAACATGGAAATAAGATACAGTCTAGCACACTGCTAGGCTCTAACCAAGCGAGCCGGGCTATTTCAGGCTGTTGGAGCAAGAGCCAAGTGCCCCACGCGGAGGCGGAGCCACTAAACCTCGCTTATCCAGGCCTTGCTAGCACTCTATTCCAACGTCGACGTCGTCGTTGTCGTTTCTTGAGGACGGTTATTACGGTTCATATCGTTAGCTCACCAGTCAAGCGTGAAAGGGCTATATCTTCCACGCCCTTTATGAGGACCAAAGCATCTTCAGTAACAAATACGGGGTCTGAGGATCTTTTTTTTTTTTTTTTTCATTTTGGAGGCCTTGACGAGTGGCTAATGCACGTATGGGCCCTGACCGGCCGATCAAGGGCAAGAAAGGTCGCCTCTCCGTCTTCAGTCAAGTTCGATTCTCATTTAAATGGAATCATGGTCTACTGCAAAGGATCATTGTCGTTCTAGATCCATGGCCGGTTTACGTGTGCACATTAGATATCTATTCGGTCCTTTCTCGTTCATTCTGCTCCTAATAATAGTTTAGTATAAAGGTCAACCACCCACACTCGTTCTTTTCACAACACGGTGGTAGTTACGAAACCTGACAGTAAGTGCGACAAGGACGCATGGAATAAACACGATGAAAGATATAACAAAAAAGAACAGATCAGGAAAAGAGCAAAAGAGGGGAAAAAAATCAGCCCAACGTGGGACTCGAACCCACAGCCTCAAGATTAGAAGTCTTGCGCGCTACCGATTGCGCCAGCCGGGCGCTGATGTGTTAGTGCGGTTTTGAATTTTTCAAACTATAGCTGTGGGACTAATTTTGCTTCGCTGTAGCTTAAGGACGGCAAATTCCTTTGTACATGATCCGTTTTCACGACTTTGCTCTTATGCGCAACAGAACAATCATATGTCAGTAATAGTTACAGAATGCCGTAAGGCCTACATCGCTAGCCTGATTGTCAAGTTGTTTCTGGGAGATTGTGTCGCTCACACTCCCACCTACAGTCGGAGTTGGTGTACTGAGATTTGACACCAAATTGTGCAGCCTCGACACTCGCGAATGATCGACGAAGAAGATTGAATTTGAAAAGTGGGTTCCATTGTGCCAATCGTTCATCGTTAACTTTACATTCTAGTGTCGTTATTGAGTCCAAGTCCCAGAAACCGACGAGAAGTTGAGTTACGTCTGTATCACTGAAAACTCCAGTACACAGCCAGTATGCCATGTCACTCAGTGATGCCGCTTGACTTATGTCAACATAAGGACTATTTGTGGGCAAAAAGAAGCTAATAGAACCACCCCTACTTTATCGCCACCCTTAGTTCACCTCCCACGAATAAGAAATGACTTATTTCTGCGGTCGTCAGCGGCCTCGGCACTTTTGAATAGGAGCTGACTGTGCATGAAAACTAGCTTCGAGTCTGGCTGAAAACTTGAGACATTCTCTGGTGGGTGGGTGGGTGCTTCGGAAGCCTGTGTTCGTAGTCAGGGTTCCCTATGTGAGACTTGAGCTGAGATTGTATCCGGGAAGCCTGGCTGTGTTGATGGGAATCAGATGCATGCAGTGTCCAAAGGTGACAGGTCCCAGATGCGAGACGACATAAATGTTACATTGCCAGTGCATAGTGTCTATTTTTCTCCCATCAGCTACATAACAAGATCGCAGCGGAAGTCGATGTACTCTGATTACAAACATTTATCTTGGTCCCGTCTGATCTACGAGAGAGGCCAGCCTGTTCGCATTTTCTGTGCATTCGATGTTCAGCCACGATAGGTACCTTAGGTAGCCCGTGTATCTTGTTTTCGCCGCGAACAGTATTCCAACATAAGTGCTTCTCTCTTTCTTGCGTGTGCTGTGTACCATTTAGTCGGGCGGGGAGTGGTTGGGTGGAACTGAAAAAATAGGGGACCAAGGGCCAAGAACCATTCCCACGATGCATGTCACCTATGATGTGTTTAAATTGCAGGTCCAAAATCCAGTACGTGGTGCTCAGAAACCAGACGTGGGCGATTCTTGACTTCGGGACGTCTACCCCCCTGTACTGCTTGGTGTGCAGGGGAGAGACAGCTCGGTAGTAAGAGCCGAGGCTCTGGGGTCCCGCATTACGTGTACGCAGTAGATCGCCTCGCTTCGTTCGCTTCCAGGTTGTTTTCTTCGATGACGACTACCGATCGGGAATCGACACTTTCGTTACATCCGCCAGATCCGGATATCGGGTTTGAAGAAGAACGTCATCTTTGAGTACTTGTGTGTTACATTGCTTCGTTTCTGGTTTCCTTCGACGCAATCAGCAAAGCGAATTAGCCATGACATCGAAGCAGCAGTCAAGTGACAAGCAGACATTGCCGAGACGGAGCAGACGAGAGCTACGGTGTATGCAACTTACACAACGAGTGTGACCTTTTCGAGCCCCTTGGTGGCAACCGATCTTACTTGGGAGTGGGACTGGAGCTGAAGCTCGAAATACTAACGGCCTGTGACGGGACTGAAAGGATCGGAAATATTTCTTTTGCCTTGGGCACAGCCTCTGGGGGTGGCGATGACGCCGAGCCGCTGTCAGGAACCTCAAGCCAGACACCGGTGCCGGTACCTTGTCCGTGATCTATTGCGTTTCTTCTGATAGCGTGGTTGTTGTCATGGCTGCGGGACGGACTGCGCCGACCGTGGTAGGCGGCTCCTTGAGGAGCCGCAGTAGCGAAATTAAGGCCGGGCACGGAGGAGCCAATGGACGGCCAGCTGGTTCAAGCCGAGTTGAATACTCCAGTTTTAGGAGAGACCGAAGGCTCTGAATGTGCCAGGGACACGAGATGGTGGCTTCTGATGGATGTGGGATCCCAGCTTGCCCCGGAGTCCCGGTTGAAACGTTTCCAATCGTCTGGGTGGTCATTCGCTGTGATGTGGGCTGGAGCTTGGTGAGCTCGTTCTGGCTTCTTGAGAACTGCCGGAATGGCCGATTGCTGAGGTTTGAGAGCCACGGGAGTTTGATGCTGTTTCTCCAGTTGATCCTCCTCGGTCTCAGCGGACTTGATCCAGCCACGCTTTTCCAGGGAACCCCAGCATCGTTTCAATGTCTGCTGGTTCAGGCGACGATTGATATAGAAGACAAAGAATCCAAGGCCGATGACCCCGGCGATGACGAGAATGCTGGTTTTACCATGTTCCTCAAGCTCTGGTGAACCCATTTTTGGCAATCGTTGAATTGACTGGATCTGAGTGGATGGTTTCCGCACGTCGAGTCCTTTTTCATTTATTTATCAACCCTTTTTCTAGTGTCCTTGGTTAGAAACATTTTTTCAAGCAGACTGAGCAGCAAGCATGCTCAATGAACTCATGACCTTGCTAACAGACATTACTTGACCGTAGATACGAGCTGCGGTCGTGACAGGAATTAGATATCGGACATGAAGCACTCGCACTTGGCTGCGTCTGCCTCCAGTGGCGTTTTGCCGCTGTTGCTGCCATGTTTTGTGTCGGCAGGATGAAGAAGTCCGTGCCTCAGCCAGTAGATAGAACACTGATCCTCGAGGTCCAGGTCCGGATACTTTTGGCTCCGAGATAGAGCTGAGATTTCGGCCTTGTCACCCGCAAGCCATGATTATGGAAGAAGCGGAGGAGAAGAGGACGACGAGCAGCACCTGGCGGCCTTCAAGGTTCTCAGAGTGGTGGTCTGTGCACACGACGCCAAGGCCACCACCACCACCATCATCACCATCACCATCACCATCACCGCGCGGCAACTGTGCCCTTCAATCTTACGGAAAGAGGCTTGAGAGAGGATGGAGGATGCAGACCCGCGAACGCGGTGCGAGTGAGCGGCATTGGAGGCATTGACTGCAGTCTTGAGAAATTGCTCTCTTACCGCCATCCCGGTTTGCTCGTCGTCAGCGTTTGTCCACAACTGTTTCAAGTCGGACCAGGGCACGATGAACATCATTCCATGCGCATGAACATACCTCTATGCATTTCAATCGAGTACATTCTACATACGCGCGTCATGTAGCCAACAACAACCACAGATTGGCCCTGGGCCTGGGCGCAGTGTCAAGTACCCAGCAGTCAGCACACACACGAGTGGGTGCGGGGAAGCTATTCCCTTTTCGGCTCCTGCCGATCACTGGCTGCGAGAGACGGGAAGGATGGAACCTGGGGTTCCGTGTTTGGCTGGGGGAGTGCGGAGCCGAGACCAAACATCACCACTTCGAGAACAACTGATGATCACCAACTTGAATCGGACGGTCCAAGTGAGGTAGTTATCACCAAAAAAGTCTGCTGATCCGGCTGCCTTTTGCTAATGCTTTTTCCAGTACTCTAGAGTCGAACAGGGGCCAACCTGAGGGACAGCAGTCAACAGTCACGGGCAACCGACATCCCCGCACATCCCGTTTGGGCCAAATCAAGCATGGCCAGACTCCAAAAGGACTTGAAGCTGCCAATTCAACGGCTTTTCGGAAACACGCAGCGCCCAGCACATAGCACTAGTCAGGCGAGAATAGTGGTGGCTCTATTGTCGCCCTAATGGCACCCGATCGGTCCTGGCCTCCGCTTTCCATGGATGCGGTCCGCTGGTGTGGAAACTGGAAAGGGTCGAGCTAGAATCAGACTGCCATCCGTTTTGGTGCGGCTCGGGGCGTCGTTCTCCGAAAACCCCATCCGCATCAAGCATGGCAGAGGCTATCGCGGACCCTCCAATCAACAGCACTCGCCCCTGTCTGCTATACCCAACCTTAATCGGCTCATTTCAGGTGCGGTTCTGGGGACCTGGGGAAGTTAGCGCCGCCAAAACCAAGGCCAAGACGACGCCGTTGCAACGTCGACAAAGTGTCTGTCCGCATGTCTCGTGGTCCAGAGACCAACCCATCATCCGCATCCACCGGCTTCGGCCTCGCGCTTGCCCCCTTCCGCAAGCCAAGATGATTATGCCGCCGGCCCCGTTTCCCTTAACGTGAGACTACGCACGCTATGGACCTTCGCAAAGCCTGGCGCGCGCGCTGAGATCCTCCACCCGCCTGGAGGCTAGCTCGGGAGATGGGAGCAACACTTCCGCTTGAGGATTGTGGTTGTGACGGGCCGTGATCCGAACTCACAATGTCCTTGGTCGCCTTCCCCTCTGATCTACTGACCTTGTCGAAATCCGGCCAGGTAATCCTCCCGCAAAGCCGACCGCACCTCGGAGCCTGGCACGCCTTCACGAAACTGGCGTGGCAAACGAACCATGGGGCGCTCTACGAGACATCAACATCTATATAATCTGGGGATTCGGCACCTCTTCAAACTCCTTCAGTTCGATCTCGCAATCATCATCCTCAAGCACGCCGTTCAGCCTCATCCTCACCATGCTCGCCAAGTTCGCTGCCCTCGCGGCCCTTGTGGCCTCCGCCAACGCCCAGGCTGTTTGCTCTCTCACTGCCGAGACCCATCCCTCCCTCAACTGGTCCAAGTGCACTTCCTCTGGATGCACCAACGTCGCCGGATCCATCACTGTTGATGCCAACTGGCGCTGGACTCACATTACTTCCGGTAGCACCAACTGCTACAGCGGCAACGAGTGGGATACCTCCCTCTGCAGCACCAACACCGATTGCGCGACCAAGTGCTGCGTTGATGGTGCTGAGTACTCTTCTACCTATGGTATTCAGACCAGCGGCAACTCGCTCAGCCTTCAATTCGTCACCAAGGGCTCGTACTCGACCAACATTGGTTCCCGTACTTACCTTATGAACGGTGCCGATGCCTACCAGGGTTCGTGCTCATCTCTCCCCATCCCTTGAAAACCTAAAGGCTAACAGACACTGCGCCTAGGCTTCGAGCTCCTCGGTAACGAGTTCACCTTTGATGTCGATGTGTCCGGCACCGGCTGCGGTCTTAACGGCGCCCTCTACTTCGTCTCCATGGATCTTGATGGTGGCAAGGCCAAGTACACCAACAACAAGGCTGGTGCCAAGTACGGCACCGGTTACTGCGACGCTCAGTGCCCCCGTGATCTCAAGTACATCAACGGTGTCGCCAACGTTGAGGGCTGGACCCCCTCCACCAACGATGCTAACGCTGGTATTGGTAACCACGGTACTTGCTGCTCTGAGATGGATATCTGGTTCGTTTGCCCATTCCTCTTTCACCATCAGCATCGCAGGTGACTAACACCCACCCAAGGGAAGCGAACAAAGTCTCTACAGCGTTCACCCCGCACCCCTGCACCACCATCGAACAGCACATGTGCGAGGGTGACTCCTGCGGTGGTACCTACTCCGACGACCGCTATGGCGGTACTTGCGATGCCGATGGTTGCGACTTCAACAGCTACCGCATGGGCAACACCACCTTCTACGGTGAGGGCAAAACTGTCGATACCAGCTCCAAGTTCACCGTTGTCACCCAGTTCATCAAGGACTCCGCTGGCGATCTTGCTGAGATCAAGCGCTTCTACGTCCAGAACGGCAAAGTCATTGAGAACTCTCAGTCCAACATTGATGGAGTTTCTGGCAACTCCATCACCCAATCTTTCTGCAATGCTCAGAAGACTGCATTCGGCGATATCGATGACTTCAACAAGAAGGGTGGCCTGAAGCAGATGGGCAAGGCCCTTGCCAAGCCCATGGTCCTCGTCATGTCCATCTGGGACGACCATGCCGCCAACATGCTCTGGCTCGACTCCACCTACCCCGTCGAGGGTGGCAGCCCCGGTGCTTACCGTGGCGAGTGCCCTACCACCTCGGGTGTCCCCGCTGACGTCGAGGCCAATGCTCCCAACTCCAAGGTCATCTTCTCCAACATCAAGTTCGGCCCCATCGGCTCAACCTTTAGCGGCGGTTCTTCCGGCACCACTCCTTCCAACCCTTCAAGCTCTGTCAAGCCCGTCACCTCCACTGCTAAGCCTTCTTCCACCTCTACTGCCTCCAACCCCAGCGGTACTGGTGCTGCTCACTGGGCTCAGTGCGGTGGTATCGGCTTCTCTGGCCCCACCACTTGCCAGAGCCCTTACACTTGCCAAAAGATCAACGACTATTACTCCCAGTGCGTGTAAATCACTAGCCTGCATGGGTAACCTTTTGATCGGCCAGTCATCATCGGCAGCATGGTGAACCTCGACTGCGAGCAAAAAAAAGATCGGGATAACCAGGGCGTCAAAAGGATTAACCTTTGAGAAATGATAATGGGCAGACACAAAACAGAGGGTTCCACAGTACCTCAACTTCCAAGTACATATTACGTGTATTGCATTCTTCTACTATCTTGTACATAGCTCCGCCTCAATGACCTTTGGATCGTTGACATTATATATATCATCACTTGTGCATAAACTTGTTGCCTCACGTCTTGTGACCTTCGCAATCGATGTCTTCCTAATCCCTCTCTCAGTAGTTGGTGTTGTTATTTTTGACGTCTACTTCCGCCTCCCGAGGGGCATGAGAGATGCAAAAACTGATGAGCATCAATCTCTCTCTCAGGTGACATCCTAAAAGCGTATGGTATCTTCGTGAAATGACAACGATAGAACACAAGTTACAAACCCAAAATTAATTGAATATTCACATTCTATCACAATAGAGATCCCGGCCGGCAATAAACCCACCGTATGAGTGGTGTAAGACCATTGGTTATAATTTGCAGGCCACACCCAGGCATCTCCCAATACCCTAGATGGGTCCCCACAGCTCCACAACACCAGCAAAAATTTTGTTTCTACTTTCATCAACCCGACTTTCGGATCCTCTGAACAACCTAGGAAGGAAATCCATACTTGTAAAATCGGGTATGGTGTAGCGGTAACATCGTTGACTCTCACTTTCCCACAGAAAGTGTCTGCCTTCTCAACAGCCCCGGGTTCGACTCCCGGTATCCGAGTGATAACGATCAACTCATCAAGTACTTCCTCTTTTTTAGCATCTTTTTTTTCTGCCGTTTTGTTCACCTGGTGTTTTCTCTCGAGTTCTTTTTCTTACTCTTCTTTCTTACCCCTTTGCTCCTTTTCGAGTTTCGCGAGTTAGTTCGCAAAAATTACTCAGAGAAACAGCATCCAGCCCCAGATAACTAGTGTCATGCGGGGGACCAGAAGGAACCAACATCGGTGACGACCAGCGAATCCCAAGTGTGATAAGTTTTTTCCTTTTTTTCACCTTAGTAAAGGGTTACTCGCACCCCCAAACGTTCGTTTCTACTACGCTCAAAAAATTTTTTTTATTTTTTTTTTTTTTATTTTTTTATTTTTTGAGAAGTTGATTATTCCATAAGTTTTATAGGGAATATATATCAATATTCTAAAGCTTGAACGTAATTCACTTCCTCTATCAATTCACCAAAGCGTCACCCTCCATCTCACCCACTACCGCATCTAGCTGAGCTCCAAAAAAGAGCAAAGCGATACCACCAAGAACGCCAACCGTTGCCAAGCCTGTTAACCCTCCATCCTCCTATTATAGCTTGAGACAGCTGTAAGCGGGCGTGTATTACTAACCGGGCGTTCGTGGCACAAAGTACTCGGTTCTTTTCTCCTCCGTCTCTGCGACTGTTACGACCGTGTGGCTTGGTACTGAACAAATCAGAGGGCGAGAAAAACGCCACTTGTAGCCCGGTGGAGTTCATCGGGAGAACTCCAGACTCTTGTGTCGTAGAGGTGTTGAGAGTTGGGCGATGGCTTCAACTTTAACTCGATCCAAGCCCTGTTTTTGGCGTACGTACCTGAACCGCTTTGGGAATGGAGGGCTGAGGATCTAGTGGTGGTAGCTTCAATAGGGAGGAGAGGTGGTAACAGTGTTGCTCCGCTCCGAGAAGGTAGAACAGGTGGTTGAAGTCAGTCTGGGTTTTTGATATAAACCCACGGTCAACTCGAAGGAAAGTTGAAGAAGACACTTCTTTTCTTCATCGCAGCAGCTTCGTCTCATCATCCTTTATTGCCCCCACAACACACCCCGAACACAATATCTCAACGCACACACTTCAAGTCAAATCCAACATCTATCTCCAACCCTCAGTTCCCTCCAACAACACTCCCGTCGTCTCTCAACCACAATGTCCACCTCCACCTCCACTCAAACCAACAAATCAATCCTCTTTATCTCCGCCACAGGCGGTATCGCCCTCGCAACCCTTCGCAGGTGTCTCGCCTCTTCCAACCCTTCCAACCAGCCAAACCAGACACTAAACCATCCATCCCTCACCATAACCGTCCTCGCCCGTTCTCCCTCCCGCCTCCAATCCCTCCTCACACCAACCGAGCTCTCCTCCCCTTCGCTACGCATCATCCAAGGCAACGCCCACTCCTCTTCCGACCTTGTTCCGCTTCTCACCCATCTCTCCGACCCAACGACGCTGGTCGATATCGTGATCACTTCCATCGGCGGCAAACCTGATCTGAAGAAGCTAGGCATCGACGATCCGCACGTCTGCGAAACTGGTGCTCGTGCGCTGCTTTCCGCGCTGGACCAAGTCCGCCGGGCTTCCCTCCATGTCCCCAACCCAGCTTCGGTTTGTGGAAACAGCTCTTCAAGCAGGGAAGTGGAAGCAAAGAGAAAACATAAACCCTACATAATCACCCTCAGCGCCGCCGGCGCCTCTACCGTCCACAGGGATTACCCCCTCCCTCTCTACCCGCTCTATGCGCTCCTTCTCAGAAACCCCCTCAAGGACAAGAGGGCCATGGAGAACGTTTTTGTAGAGAGTGACGAAAAGAGATGGACGGTGGTTAGGCCTAGTATGTTGACTGAGGGGCCAGAAATTGGACTGGAAAAAGTCAGGATTGGAGTGGAAGATTTGCAAAGAAAAAAGTTGGAGGGTGGAAAGGTGGTTGGGTATACGATTTCTAGAGAGGATACTGGGGTTTGGATCTTTGAGAGGCTGGTGGTTGGTCATGATGGGGAGAAGTATCTGGGGAAGGCGTTGACAGTTACTTACTAAGACTTTGGAGTTGGAAGTGGAAGTGGAAATAATGGGTTGGATTGGAAGTAATGGGTTGGTTGACTGTAGACCGTGGAGGGTTATGGGATTTGAGTCGGATCTGGTGGGTCGATTATTTGGTTTGTGTTTCTTTTTTTTTTTTTTTTTTTTTTTTTTTGTATATGCCGTTCCGTTGGCCTGTATCTTCTCTCGAGTTCCCCTGATTCATCTTTTGTTCCCCTGCTCGTTTTTCTAGTTTCGCCAGTTTGCTCGTTAAAAAGTTCCAAGGGAAAGAGTACTCAGCCCTATATACCTTGTATCATACGGGGGGCCAGAAGGAACTCACAAGAGAAACAAGAAAAAAATCGAAAAGGGAAAAAAATTAAACAACATGCAACACCTGGGATTCGCCGGTCGTCACCGACCCAACTACTACCAGGCTAATTCTCCTTTTCTTCTCTCGTCCTAATATTAGTAGCCGCTATAGCCGTAGTGAATTTCCTTCCATTGAGACCATTATAAAGAAGGAAAGGCTTTGTCAATATGTAAAACGAACATGGTCACCCTAGCCAAGTATGCTCCTTCTTTTCTCTTGTTTGAATAGAAAAATTGTCACTTGCAAAGTCGACAGCCGCACCTTGTATCATGCGGGTATGCCCGCTGAGAACTAAAGCTGTTGCGGGTCACTCCTGGTAATTTGCTCAACTTGCCTTAAGGGTATAACCGTGAACGCAAAAACCTCTGAATATACTCCGCGCCAACATGGATCCAAGTCCTTCAAACCTACCAAATTCATCAGCATATCGAGCCGTGACCATCTATCATAATAACTAACATGCAACGGTATTGATATATCTGGCTTCAAAAATTACTCAATGCAACAAACTCCCTTCCTTTAGCTGATGAGCAGCAGCGCCCATCTACAAGCCCTCTACAACAGCAAAAGAAAAACGACCCCCTTCGCCGTTCACAACACCATATTGTATCTTTGGTTCTCCTCCTCCTCCTCCTCCTCCTGCGGAGCCCTTCCCTTTGTTGCGGAAGTGATCAGCCAGTTCACCAGCTGAAGCGGTACTGTCGCAATCTACAAAGAGACCATCCATTCCACCTGCTTCGTTCTCCTGTTGCATAGTAGTAACGCCGCCGCCGCCGCCGCCATTGTAACCCAGGTCACTTTTCGAGTCCGATAACAGTGTTAGCGATGACTTTCCGTAGGGCCCCTTTTCGGGAGGAGAACTGAACGCATAAGCGAGTTCCAGTGGACTCATGGAGAAACTCCTGCCTAGCCTCCACCACCCCCAAAGCAGTACCATGGTAGCCACCGGTCCGGCGAGGCTGACGGCTACTGCGAGGAGCAGTTCCGGGATATTGGCGGCGTACTGGACTTGTGTGAGGTGACTTGTATACGGAATCCCCTTTTGTTCTTCACGTGGGAGCGGGACGCCCAGGGAGTCATGCCCAGGGTTATTGGCTGCGTGGACAGACATGCGGAATGCCAGTTCGCGGTAGCTGTTAATTATGTCATCCATGGGGTCTAGATAGAATTGATGGCATGGAGACCGAGCCGCGGACCAGTTTCCTGTGTATAAGTTGGCTGTAAGTCCGTCGGCCTTTGTTGCCCAGCCCACTGCGCCTGACCACCACACCTCGGCGATTGAGTTGAAGAGGGTTGATCCAACGACCTGGAGAGGCAGGATAGTTATACCCGAACCTACACTCGATACGGGCCATGTTAAATTTCTTGAAGACGGGTACCGCGTTTCGTTAGCTATTCCAACCACACAAAAGAATAACGGTGAGTTTCACAAGGAATGGAGTGCATGATTGACTGACGTACATATGCTCCAAAACGTGATCATCTTTCCAGCTGTCTGTCTGGAAGGATGCTTGTCCTCCCGTAATAGAGATGTTGTACGCCACTACGGAGGGTACAAGGATGCAAGTTTGGCCTACTAGCTTGCCGGAACATGCCTGTGGATAGGCTTCATCACCACCGTCCGAGTGCGCTTTGCGTTTTGTGGAAATGTTGAGCGCGGTAAAGGATCGATGTTCAAACCAGATATCGATCGCGGACTCGAAGATGCGTGATACGTTTCCGATCGTCGCCAGGTCAACCGTAAGGTTATAGTTTGTTGGTGAAGAAGTCAGCTCTTCACAGTGATCAACATCGAACCCGAAGGCCTAATCCGCCATGAGCAGAAGTCAGCCTTCAATATTACCAACACACGGCATGTTATTAACAAGAATTGGGCATAGATATAGATATCACCTTGACAGTCAACGTGCAATTCTCACACGAGGCCCCTTTGATGTGAATGGGGGCTTTAGCTTGGAAATCCCGGGTTACTTGTGCAAATTCTGAAGTGAACATGACGTTTCTGGTGTCCCGCCCGTCTACCGTACCTCCCCAAGTATCGCTGATATTATGCTTTACTTGAAGATCGACAGTACCGTTACGAGACAAATCCACGATCTGGACAAAGGAGGCTCTTTGCATCAGAGGACCGCGCAGGAAGCTCGTAATAGTCACAATGATGGTCACTACTTGAATGGTTAGCTATGCACGAAAAGACAGCATTCGCTATTCACCCCAAGTCCAAGCTTGTTGGTGGTGATTGGGAAGACCAAGACCTCACCTATACTTGCTCGGATGGCTTTTTTGCGACAAAGTGATCTGAAAGCTCCTATGACGCTCGAAGAGCTTGCCCAGTTATAGTGCAGGTTGCTGACCTAGCTACTGTGTCAGCAAGGTATGGGTTTGATGGAAAAAAAAAAAGAAAGAAGATACTCAACTGGCATTGGCTGCACAGCCTGTGTCCAGAAGAAAACCACGGCTGCTTGAGCGAAAGCAAGGCCCGTCAAGGCGTTTGCAAGAGTTGAGGTGTAGGCCAAGAGCACACCTGGTTGCTTGTGTCCAGACCAGACCGCCTCTGGCTGACCACTGCTCGCAAGAACGACTCCAATGGCGAGTCCTGTACCTACACGTACAAGGAAAGGTTGTGAGTGGCGGGTGCTGGATTCAGATGGGCCTAGGTTGAATTGTGTACTTACAGCATATACTCAAGATCAACGGGATGACTCCAAGCCATGGAAAACGTCGGTGAACGCCTGGGTTCCAGGTCATGCCAACTTGGTCAACAATGAGTGGCTCCATGCTTGAAGGAAGGTATGCTGTTTGTAATCTCAAAGATTAGTAGAATAAGCGGGTTCGTGATGAGAGTGTAAAAAGAGAGATAATCGCGAGACTTGCAAAGCGATGGTGATATACCGTGTAAAGGAGGTACTTGGGGGGCTTCTGGGGCGCCAAGCTTTCTTTACCCCTTTAGTCTACAGTTCACCCCTGAAAAATTCGTTAGCGTGGTACTTGTAAGCAGTTTTCGACAAGGGGGGCGGATGGGGATCTGTAGATGCCCTGTAATTTATCAACTATAGAAGGTAATAAGTGTCGATTCTAGGTGGTTCGAGTGATTTGGGCAACCAGGCTGGTGAAGTAAAGCGTGTATGTGTGTGAACTAGAGGTATCTGAAGGGAATTGTCTGTCGACTCTTTCTCAAGAACTCGTAGATACCTAACTATGTCCAAGCTTGCAACCCCCTTATTGAATGATGTGGTGCTTGTAATACGCCAACAAACTTTCCAGCATTGATCTACATTCCGTCAATGTAAAAGGGAAAGCTTGGCGCCCAGAAGCTCCCAAGTATACTTTTGCGCATATTCCCATCAAGACTTTGAGTAGGCCGTGCTGAAACATGCCTTCATCTGTACAACACCTAAAATGCCTTACCTTTTGCGTGGTCGGATGTTGACGTGACCTATCCGTCTGGGGAGAAAGGCCTCAGTGTTCAAAGGTACACTACCTAGGTATGGGATCAGCCACAGCGGGTCTTACAGCATGCTTCCGTCCTTCCCTGCAAAGCATGAGGGTATCTTGACTTGCCTTATATATGCCTTGAATGTAGCGCTATGTGTGTATCATCAATTTGGACAACGGAAAAACCGAGGATCGACGAGACATGCGTGTGCGATGAAAAACCGATGTGAGGCGATGGTGGAGCAACAGAGACTGGAGAAGATGGACAAGTGAAATTGACCATCAGACGCAATCTGGGCCAGGTGGGCCAAACAATGGAACCCAGCCAATCGTTCGTGCCCAGCCGCTAAGCTCTGTTTCCCTTCACTACTTTCTGTAGGATCGACGTACTTACCTAGATTACCCTAACTAATATTCATATCCCGGCAGAGGTGTAGCCGAGTCATCCAAACCCCTGTCAAAACCTCCTCCCATAGACAAGCCACCGCTGTGTCTGTGATATCGTTATTTGTAGTGATAAATGGTATATGTGCTTCGGGTATTTGCCCTACGTAGATTTGATGAATTGACGTGTACGTAGTCCGAGATAGTAGCCAAAACATGATTAACTCGGCCAACAGCCCAGACGAACCCTAACGATCATTGCTGGTTCTCGCCATCACTTGTAACGTTCCCACCATTGGATGCACTGGCAGACTGAACGTCACGTTGAACGTCTTCGCCGCCTTCACCAACTGCACCGGCTTCCTCGAGTGTCTGTTCCGTTGTCATCTCACTCTTCTTCGGCGCTAAGTCCTCTCTCCGGCAAGTCCAACCCCCTGACCAGCCAACCCACCCTTTTTCTCTTGGTCCTCTGACAAGGCAGATAATCAACGCAAACCCGCCAAAGGCAACTATTTCCTGTTAGCATCTCTCTCTCTCTATCCAAGCACACGTTTCCAGAAAGTTGACACTTACTCCCACAAGCACCACTGTACACCCACCCACCCTGAGCATAAAGCCTATTCCCCACCGCCGTCCCCGTCAACTGCCCAGCAAAGCTGACCACCATATACGCCGTATTGACCCGGTTTCTCGCCAACGGCTGAATGCCATAAATCGAACTTCTCATCGCGATCTGCGTAAACTGTCCGCCCAAATCAATCATAATAGCCTGCACCACGGGACCTGCGACGTTAAAGCTGCCGACCGACGTGCCCACCACCACACCCACCGTTTCGACCACCAGGCCCATGATCGCAGACACCAGCGGCACCAACCGATCGATTATGAGCCGCGAGTAAATCGGCGCACACACAATCACCACCACACCAATCAACCCGAACAACCCAATCACCATTGACGAGTACTCGTACGGCGGACTGCTCAGCAGGAAACTCAGCGTCGTCCAGTAACTCGTGAAAATCCCGCTGTGCAGGAAGGCCACCAGCGCGGCTTGCAGCAACAACGGCTCAGTGGCCAGTAGTCGCGCAATCTGCCACGGCATTTTGAAATAGTTGAACTTTGTGTCTGGGTTTTTGGAGGGGTAATCAGGCATCCAGATGTAGAGCAGCCCGAAGACGAGCCATTGCACGCCTAAGCCAAACCAGTAGATGTTGCGCCAGGATGTAAAGCTGGCTAACACGCCGGCCAAGGTTCGGGCGAGAAGGACGCCGAGCGAGAGGCCGGAGACAATGACGGCTAGCGAAGAGGCGCGGCGGGCGGGGGGCGCAAGATCGCCGACTAGGGGGAGCATGAGTTGCGGGGTAACGGTGGTGGCGCCGCAGAGGAAGGAGATGGCGGCGAAGGAGGGAAAGGAGGTTGTTAGGCAGAGGGGGATCCACTGATTGAACCCAGACGATGTTAGTGAGAGTTGGATCAAGGACGGGGAAGATAGGGGAGGTGTACCAGGGTAGCGGTAAAGGCAATCAACCCAAGTATGAATGGTCGTCGGGGAAAGATGTCACCAAGCGGACAGATGAACAGCAAACCGCTGCAATAGCCGGCTTGCATCAGCGTGGCTACCGACGAGGCCTTTTCAAAGGTGACATCGAAAGTCTCTGCCATCTTGTTTAGGACGGCTTGGTTGTAGTACAGGTTGGATACGGTGAAGCATGATGCCTGGGTGGGAGGAGGTGTTAGTGACGATCCGAAACGTTCGACTGGCTGACATGGAGAACACCACTCACAAACCCGAACAGGATGTTCATCCATATTGTAAACTTGGGAGGATGGTCGGGGTCATACCTAGCCGCTTTGGGTTTCCAGTGCCAGAGTGTAGAGAGCCGGCTTTTCCATGGAAATCTATCAAGCGTTGATGTACTCTCATCAACGCCGTCTACCTGGGCGAATTGAGGCAGTGATATCCCTGACGACTGACCATCTCCATGCGTATCCAACACCGGGGGCTTTTCGCCTTCCTGTTCCTTTAGGCGGGGATCGTTATCGTTGGTGTTGGCTGTCAAAGACCCTTCTCTGCTTGAAAGACGATGAATCGGAATATGTGTTGAGGTAGCTTCCAGCTGCTGACCATTTTGATGCCGAGACATTGAAATCACCGAGTGATTCTCGACTTACTGCCAATGGTTCGGGTAGTTTCAGGAGGTTGAATCGAGAGGGACGACTGGGAGGAGGAGGGAGAAAAGGAAAAGGAAACCCGCCCAACTCCAGATACCTACTCCAGGTCCTTTCGTTAACGTGCCAACTCCGTGAGGGGAGCAACGTTGTCACTGCAGAACTGGTGAAGCACAGCATCACGTCTTCCGAGATCAAGAGTAAAGTGGAAAGAAAGAGATGACTGACGTTGTTGGCGGGTTGGGGAGATCCGTGGGGGGGTTTAGGGGGTTGGGGTTGTCAAGGGCACTGCAGCTTGCAGGGGGTTGCTGTGCGGGGGAAGGGGCCCGAGGGGAGTGCCCGTGGCCGAACGCGGCAGTTGTTGCTCTAACTGTTGTTTTAGGCAGTGATGTTCCGGGAATTTTGCGTCTTTACTTTTTCAAACTGTCCATCTTCATTGACTAAATTTCTGAGATCCTGTTCAAATCCACAATATAGACTGGGGCTTGGGGAAAACCTGCCCACTGCACTGCTGCTGCAGTAAATGCAACAGAGACTTGCAGAAATACCAAGGAAATCCAGGAAACCTACCTCTAACTTGTCACGCTCGCAGTAAGGCAGCCGAGTACATATGTACATAGATAGGTATGCTTGAGGTTACTGCGACCCAAATTCTGCAAAGTCTACCTAACCGGATAAACGCGATACCGAACAAACAGGACTTGACAGACAGCCGACCAACCAACCAACCAACTCACTGCACAACAAACTTTTGATCATGCTTCTTAAACAGCACCGACCGATCCAAAATCGCACCCGTCTCGCTGTTGATAAAGTCCACCTGCATCCGCTGCTCATCCAAGAAATTCACCGTCGCATAGCTGAACGCGTCATCATACGCGAACAGATTCGTCGACACATTCTTTCCAACCTTGGTCAGCCCTTCCACATTTCCCGCGCCGCCCGCCACGATATACATGGGCGCCTTGGGATTCTCCATGCCCGCCGGGTCCGCGGTATCATTCACCACCGGCGCAAACCTCTGGCTGTTATGCACATGCCCAAACACGCCCAAGTCAACTCCATACTTGTAAAACAGCGGTTCAAACGCCTTTTTGCACGGCTGGCAATCGTCGCCCGAGCCCGTGGTGTACCACGGCCTGTGACCCGCTACCACAACCCAGGGCGTAACGGACCTGTCGACCGAGGCAAGGTCAGCCTCCAAAAAGTCCAGCTGCTGGCGGAGGTACGAGCCAAAGGGACCCCCGTTGAGATTCGCCGATCCCCCCGGTTGGTCGGGCGCGTCTTCAAAGTCGGTTTCCGTGTCGATCATGACGATGTGCGCCATGCCGTACTCGAACGAGTACCAGAAGGGCGGGTTGGCGAGGATGCGAGCCTTGTTGGCGTTGACCTTTGCTGCGGAGTCGGGCGACGTAGAGCTGAAAGCGGTCGGCAGGACGAGACCGAAGCGGTTGATGAAGTCGGTGAAATTCTTTTGACCCGACGGGCACAAGCCGCTGGTTCTGGGTACCTCTTGGCACGCAGCTTCGTGGTTACCGGGGCTGGCCATGTAGGGTTTCCGCGCGGCGATGGGCGCCAGCTGGTCAAAGAAGGTTTCGGTGATGGCTTGATAGCCGTCCTTGCCGTCGAGCCAGTTGTGCGCTTTGAGGATCCAGTCGTCGGCGTAGCCAATGTCACCCGGGTGCACGATGAAGTCGTACTTGTCGATGTTGTCGCGCAGCCGGCCGATGGTGGTGTGGTTGAGCGACGGATCGATGGAGGGGATCAGGTCTCGCTTGCTCTGATCCTGCTCAATCGTGAATCCGTCTTTGCCATAGACACCAAGGTCGATGACGATGCTGATGTTGAAAGGCGTCTTGTCGCCCGGTAGGCGCGGGCTGGTAAAGGTCTCGACCGTGGAGTTGGTAGAGACGATCTTGTAGTAGTACGTGGTGGCGGGTGTGAGGTTGTTAATGGTGACCACGTTGGCCCATGTGCGCGATGTCGGGTAGGTGATGGACGACGTAGAGCAGGATTGGGAGCCCAGGGAGGATGGCGATGTGCCGTATTGGACGCACGGCTGGCTGAGCTGCTTGTAGGTGTTCCAGGCAATGCGGACGGCTGTTGAACCTTGATGTCAGCTCCTTCGGGTCTTGCCTTATGATGGGAAAAAAGGTCACTCACACGTCGGGCTGTTGATGGCGATGCGGTGCTGGACGGGTGTGGTCAGGTCGGCGGGAATCGGAGGATATGTCGCTCCCGCCGCCACACCCAAAGCCAACAAGGGAAGTCCCTTGACCAAGGTAAGAAGGGTGAGGGTGTCCATCATGATGATCGTGATGCCGACGCCGTGTCCGTTGGCAATGAAACTACCCACGTCCAGGAAGAAACACAGAGAGCCGGACCAGAACGATCAAGACGAAGGGGGCTCTCCAGTTTATCATTGCCTGCATCTGTCCCGTCCCCTCGCTTCTACTGGATATGAAGCGCGTTTCGTACCTGGCAATAGTAGCATCACACTATCATCCACCCACTCTTGAGCGTGAGCTCCCCGAAACAGCTTCAGGGGTCAAGGCCAAGGGCCAGGGGTCAATGGCAGCGTCGCAGTCGTAGCAGCGAACGACTCTCGAACCACTTACCCCATGGTACCACATCCCGTCACATCGGTTAATTCGATCTTGAAAGGGTGGTTGGCGAACCTATGGTGGTGTAGTGTACCTTATAGCCAAACACCTCCGCACGTGGTTGGCCATTCGACAAGAGTTGTGCCGATTCAAGGCAAATCCGTGTAAGATGATTGGCGGAATAGTTAGCGCTAAACGGTTTGGCAGGGGACTGATCAGATCAGTAGCGATCTTGGAGTGTAAGGTACCTTAAGAGCTTGACTATCACCACCGCACAAAAACTGGAAGCGAAGGGAACAACAGGGGCTTGTGCAGCTTCGGGATAGGTATCATTGCTCTTTTCTTTTCTACGAGAATGGTTCGGTATTTCGTACTACCCGGATGCGAGTCAACTTTTGTCGATGCAAAAAACCAAGATCGGTGAACCTCGGTAATTTTGGAGGGAGCTGCAGTTCATGATCATCACCTTACACATCCCCCGCTGAAGTCCACCACGGCTTTACGGTCCCTGTTCAATGTTCCATTCGGAACCTTTAGTAGTTGTGATAGCGTGATGGTATGTTGCCAGGGTTTAGCAATTTCGTATAGACCGTTGAACGTCTCGCACTTGCTTGTTTGTCAACGTGCTTGGAAGGGCTTGGGTTTCTGGATTACATAGCAACATTTTCAACCGGCACGGGCATCCGATTGGGATATACGAATCCATAACTATAAAGTGAATTCGGACCTTCCTTTTGCGGAATCGGATTGCCTATGGCCGATTTATGAAAGGGAAACCCTTGTGGAGCGTTGGGTGTGCTTTGAATGCCATATCTGTCGATTTACATGCGCGGGATGTCAAGGTTCACGATGTTACTGACCTTACCCACGTGCTGGAAATTCATTGTGTCTGCCGGTTCGTCTGCTGCGTACCATCCACGGATGCTGTACTGTAGACTCAAGCCTCTCTGTCCTTTCTCTTCTTTCTCTCTCTTTGTCTCGGTTTTTTTTTTTTTTTTTTTTTTTTTTTTTTTTTTTTTTTTTTTTCCTCCTCTTGTTTAGGCGATACTCGCATCTGGACCATTGTCAAGCCCCGCGCCTGCTTTCTACCAAAACAAAATCAAAGCAAGAAAGCTAGTCAGGAAGTAACAAAAGAAACCAACAAAATGTTTTTTGCAAAAAACCAAAAGACAATTTTGACCCGATATACACTTTTCTCCATCCAGCCTACTTCACTACTTACCTCACGTGAGGACCCAAATCACCACCCAAAACACATCCCAAAACCTCCAAAAACCTCCTCACTCCTTCTTTTCCAATACCCATCCCCCTCGCCCACTCCTTACTACCCTCAAACTCCAAAACCAACATCCCACTCTTTCTGTCTGGCGTAGCATATACCTCTGGTCTCTCTCTAGCCGGCGTCTCCCTCTCATGGAACCCTACTCCCCCCTTCTCGAATAACCCAACCCCATCCCCTTTCTCCTCATGACTACTACTGCCGGTTTCATTTTCCTGCTGATAAGCAGTCCTCCACCCAAAATCCCTTTCCTTCTCCCCTTCTACCCCTTCCCAGTCCCAGTCTGTAGCGCCTGTGATAATCTCCCTCATTCCCACCGCTTCGTATTTCGAGTCCTCAATGAATTGCTCCGGCAGCCGCTTAGCGACGCTACTCAAGGTGTCGTGACCCGAGACAAAGACGCAGACGGGGAGTTCCGTCATGGTCGGTCCGACCACGTTCTGTAGTGCCGCGGGAAGCGCAGATCGGCCGGCCACGAGGCGGCCAAAGAGGAGTTTACGTGCGCCGAAGAACCGGGAAAGCGCAAAGGCGAAGGAGGCGTAGAATTGGGTTGCTGGTGAGATTTCATCATCTCCATCATTTGGCGAGATAGAAGAAGGGAGGGAAATGGTGTGGCGAAGAGAAAGACGATTGTTGATGGACCGGGTGATGCCCTTTCTCCGGCGGCACAAATTAGAAGGGTAGCTCCAGCCTTGGAGGCGGTTGGACCAGTAGGTTAGGCTTTCCTGCTTGCGCGACTCGCGGAAGGCGATGTAGTCTGCGAAGGAAGGGGTGGCTGATGGGATTGGGATAACTGACTTCGGCTCGACGTTGAGGTAGAAAGATGAGAGGGCATGGAAGATTTGCGACCAGCTGAAGCCGTCGTAGGCGTGGGAGATGGGGAAGATGAGCTTGTGAGAGTCGGATGACATGTGTTTGATGGCGATGAAGCGGATGAAGAATTGACCGAGCCTACGAGGTCCGGCGAGATCTTCGGCACAGACCCCGTTCAAAAACTGCGGGAGGTCCTTTGGGTCGCCGGCGTCGATGGTGTCGTACGCTGGTGTGTGTTCGCGCAGAATAACTTGCCAGAACTTCCCGTCATCCTTCGTCGCTGCTGGGATGAAGACACTGCGGAGAATGTCGAAGTGATTGGCTAGATCTTTGCATGCCTGCTCGAGCCTTACAAAGTCCACATCGGCGGGGAGATCAAGGATCCAGTGGTGATATCCTCCGGGAGGATCTTGCAGGTTTTCTGATATGGAAAGCGCTTGGAAGTCTGTGGCGGGGATCACGTCCTGGATGTGGTCGGCCGTGAGCCCATCATCCAAGAATGGAACCACTTGGGTTTTCAGGAGGTCTGCCGACTCATCATTCTCTGTGCCTTGCGACTGCATAGCAGCCAGCTCCGATAACGTGTACCTGCTACCTATCCACCTTAGAACGCGTCGGTCGGTCTGGTTGGTCGTGGTCATCGGCACCTTGTCGACGTGGATATATTTATGTTCTGGGCGCCATGTACTGCGAGACATGATCTCTCGGTCTTTTTTCCAGACCCCCAGTCACGCGTGCGAGTCTAGTTCGATTGTGAGCATCGTTATCCGAGCTTACGTCATTCTCTTCTGCCTTGATAACGCTAAAATAACACCGTAAGAATCGGACCGGCGCTATTAGCAGGCGTGATGATTTCCGCCGCAATAGCTTCAACCTGGCTCAGATCCCGCAGTGAGCTGCGAACATGATACTTCACCTCGCTTAGCTCGATTCGTTGGCCACGGAGCTTAATCAACCCATTTTGGCGGCCGATGAAATCCAGCGACCCATCAGAGTTATAGGACAGCGTCTGGGCGCACTCAACAGGGCCGTTAGATGCCAATGAAGGCACTCGCCTGCGTCCGACGCGCGCCGTCCTTCCTCATGGTAGCTTCACTGCTTATTGCCAACGTCCGGGGTCTTGGTATCGTAGATGGATACAGCGAGCGGGCCACAGAGGGCGTGAAGTAGGTGTAGTCGCAGTCCATACGGTTGAAGGCGCCGGTGATATCATTCTCGTATTGTGTCTCGGAGGGAATGCAGAGGCAGGCGCCGAAAATCGAGCTCCGAGGGTGGTTCGACCATGGGTCGTCGAACCTGAAGTAGAAGACGTGGATTTATGTTTCCAAAACACCCTCCGACTTGGTACAAGTGTCAAGCGGGAAAGCCGACCATCATGGTGTCAATTCTCGACATTTGCCAGTTGAGGACTTTATCGACTTAACTGAATCCGCATTCAGTGATAATAGATCATGGTTCCCACAAGTGAACCACCATCACAATGGTGGGCGCCATGTTGCGCGGATGAAAGAAAGTGGAGGTTGGCCGACACCCGAACATGATGGATGTTATCTTGTTTCGGATTCGGCGACCGGCAGGCAATATGGGAGTCCCATGCTTCTCGAATCACGTGGTATCCCCAATCGCAACCATCATGGTCCACTCGGGAATATCGAGATAACAGGAACATCCACAATGAGGAAAGACACGTGAATGAATTCAGCGCCCTATAGTCAGTTGTGAACTGTAACCAACCTAGACCATGAAGCAATTGCGGGTGATATAAGACCGGTGACTCTTTCTCTCTTCAAGTTGCCGTATTCGTGGTACCGGCTAATTGTGGGTCTCAAAATCACATCTCCTTACCATTCAACGAAGGCAACAGGGACGTGTGACGCTCCTTGAACACCAGTATTCGTGTCTTTGTACAAGAACACCTCATGTTTTCACCACGATGCTCTCTCCCAGGGCAAACAATTTCTCACTTTAATTCCTCTCAATGAACTCTACTCCCAGCATTATCCTCTTTGATTTCCCTTCGGATGACAATTTGAGCACCATCGCCACCCTCGGCACACACGCACCTTTGCAGCTGCCATCACATTATTTTCCTTTCTCTGCGACCGCATCTTCTTCACACCGGCGCAGCAGAACAGTCTTCGTGGGCCACCCAAACACTCCAGTCTTCACCATCAACCAAAGCCTTCCCCTTAATCCCGGCACCCATGAAGTTATCATCATCGAAGTTCTGCCAACAGGGCTTTTGTTGGAAGATCTCCATGACAGCACGCGCAATCACTTGGTAGGATTCAAGTGCTTTGCGCTTGGTCTTGTCCTGTTCAGATCGTCGTTGATTAGCACAAGAAAGAAAAAAACAAAAAACAAAAAAAAAACAAAAAAAAAAAGGAAAACAAGGCCACAACTCACTTCATTACACCAATGGATTCCAGTGTCGTGAGAGCAGCTAATCCGGCCGCAACTCCCAGGATTGTTCCCCGGCATCCCGCCCCGACTCATGAGGTAATGAAATCCCTCCAGAACACCGTTGCCATGGCCATAGTCGTGATCGGAAATCGAGCAATTGACGCTGAATGTCAATTGCTTGGGGTGGATCAATCCATCAGAGGTAGTGTTGGCGTCCCTTGGTAGCATATAAGGTCTGACAGTGCGGCCAAGGACGGCAAGCTGTGCGGAGGAGATGTGTCATTAGACCCGTGATCAAAGGCTAAAGAGATCAATGGAGACAATGAGGCACGGAGAAAGACGAACTGGGAGAAAGGCAAAACAAGCCAGTCGAAGGATGGCGCTAGGCGAAGGCATGGCTGTGAGAGTTGAAGAGCTTGATATTGTGTTGGGGAGGTGAGTTGTCGGTTCAAAACTGGGTTGGTCGCGCTGACTCGAATGTACAGGGAAAACTTTGAGATTCACTGGCGATTATAGGTCTTTTAACTGCCACCACGAACCATATTATCAAAAGGAAAAGTGACTCGGCTTGGTGTCGATGATGAATCATTACATGCATCTCCCAACGGAAGCCAACGGAAGATTTTCATCAATCTGATAACACCTTTACGAGTGGCACTGGGCTGGTAATATCACGGAGCTTCCGAACCTGTTTCACCATACACTGAAACACGGAAGCCAACAAGCAAACGAAAGTGTCTACTTGTACTCAATTTCATGTGAACATGGGCAAACAAGTCTTCTTCACCAACAGTTACCTCTGCACAAACACCTTAGCTATGCGAACATAATTGAAAATCATCTGGGAGGACAGATGGGTACGCAGTGGGAACTCAATACAAAACACCCAACTCCAGACCACCGTCTCTCCTCAGACATTGTTCCCAAGGCGGCATCACCTCTTCACCACACCCCACCCACAACATGGGTTCCAATTTCCCAACTGCCACGTCTGTTCCTTCTCAGTCCTTTATACCCTTATAAATACGCCTCACTCTGTCCCTCCACAATTCTCCCCATTCAACTCGTCTTTCCAGGCTTCAAACAGTCCTCCCCCCTGATGAAAACGCTCCAAGTCTGGTCACTATAGATCTCTCCTCTAATCCTCCCTTCGCGCTCATTCCCAAAGATATTAGGATCCCTCCAACAGCGCGCATCTCGCCAGAGCGCATTTGCCCCCTGCGCAATCCAGTTCCATTCGGGAAGTTCTCTTTCCTGTCCCGGCTAGTTTTTATAAGGGGGGGGACCCGAGCCCAGGCCCCATGATTGTTAGCTACTTGACTTTTTTGATTCCACCTCCACTATCCAGAAAAAAAAAAAAAAAAAAAAAAAAAAAAAAAACAAGAGGCAGGGTGGGGGGGCGGAGGGAAGGTAAGAGACTCACATCATTATTGCACCAATAAATAGCCGTATCGCCTCTACAGGCCACTCGTCCACAAGTCCTCGGTCCCTTCCCATTCTTCGGCTTTCCCGGCAACCCTTCGAGGTACCAAATGTTCACTTTGGCTTCGAAGGCCTTGCCCCAGGCCCAATCCTCTGGAACCTCGAGATTGTATTTCTGGGCGCCGGGGCAGGCTTTCCCGATCCAGGTGGGGAAGTAGTCGGGGTCTTCGACGTTGCGGGCGACGACGATGTCGGTGGTGGACTGGAAGGTTTTGGATGAGGATGGGAGTGCGGACGCGGTGCCGTCCTGATTACGAAGTTGGATCGTCGTTTTGGTGTTGGGAGTTAGTAAGGAGGTGGTGAATTGGGCGGCGATGGTCGGCTGTTGAGTGGTGAGGAGAAGTTGTTAGTGGATGTGTGCTCTGAGCAAAGATAGGTAGCGGGTTGAGGGACTCACCGGGAAGGAGACCGCAAGGGCCAGGCTCAAGAGAGCTCGTGTAATGAACATCGTGGAATAGGACTATGATTGGGAGTTGCACTTGTCTCAGAGAAGTAGGCCTCCGAGTTTGAGTCGTCGCTAGAGAAAAAGGGCAACATGGGCATGGTGGTCCTTTTAAACCACTAATACAAGCCAGCGAAGCACACAAGCCAAGTCAAAACAGGACAGATTCCTGACTTATCTTGCCTTGTTGACTTGCATAAATCTTTGCACATAGATTTTCACCCGGTCGCCCGGATTACTGCACCACAAATGCACACTCAATATGCTAGAAGGTGTACCGTATAGACTCGGGGCATCCGTTTTTAGGTTCCAAGGAAACCAGGCATAATTAGACATACATATGCCCGATTCTGTACATTTCCTGCCCGCAAATTTTGGTGGGGGAGTCGTGCTGCCACCCACCCCGGAGCACTGTGAATTCGATTCTTCAAAGTCCTGCCTTTACACACCTATCTTTTCAAGGGCGCTGGAGGGTGGAGACATTCAAATTCACTGTCTTGCATAGAATTTCTGGTGGGCATAAATGTTGCAGTATGCTTCCAGATTATGCCTGATTTCCCTTGGACCTAAAAACGGATGCCCCGAGTCTATACGGTATCTAAACGAGGAAAAGAGAGGCGGGGCCATGCAACATGTAAGTTAACAAAACAATGCGAAGTCCCAAATTGCCTTGACCTTGACTTGGTTGGCCTTGAGATGGCTCGTCCTGTGTGCCACGCTGCTGGAAACAGCAACGGGTGAGGGACATTTCAGACAAAAATATGGAATTTGACCAACGCAACAACAAGCCGTGGGAACATAAACTGTCATTCGTCACATCGCTCGTCTCCAAAGGGCCGTTACTCAGAAAACCAGTCTTAAAAACCATCAATGCAAAGTTGAAACAACCCCAGTGAAATCACATCCCGTCCAACCATCAATGGAGACGCTCCAGTACAACCAGCATCCCTTTGTTTTTCTTGACTTATTCCTACCTCTATGCATTGATACTCGCTTTTTATCTCCCGTAAATCACCAACCTGCCACTCCATTGCAATCACTATCAATGCTCCGCCCCGAGAACAATGGTCCATCCCGGACTAAACCTTGCCTCTCCCGCAACACGATTGTCATCAGACATTCCTTGGTCGTTCCAGATTCTCTCGGCTCCGTAGACAATAGGTTTCACGACGGTAACTCTATATCTATCTGTTGGTTAGATGGGGCAAGTAAGGAAGCGTGCGTCAATCTTGTTGAGGAGCAATTTTGATATTTTTTTTTTCTTCAACCCCCCCCCCCCCCCAAATTTTTTTTTTTTAAAAAAAATTAAAAAGAAGATAAAAAGTAAAAAATTTGAAGTAAAAAGAAACAATTACAAGTGAAAAAAAAGAAAAAGGGGGAAAGGAAAGAACTGCAAAACATTACAGAATCGCTAAATTGGGAGAGCGCCTAAATGTAAATACCATCCGCCGGTGTAAGGCGAAACATCGATGCTAAAGAAGGCCGTCACATTCGGGAATGCTGCCCGGTTGATGTTGGTGGCAAGTAAGGAGTTTGACAAGAAGGCGCTTCGCATTTGCTAAGAACAGTTTCTTGACCCTTTTTGCCTTCCCAAATCAAAGAGTCGAGTGCTTATTCCCGCCTTCCAGCCGTGCAGCTTGGAGCAAAAGAAAGAAATTATATATTCCAGATCGGCTCACACAGAAGAAACCAAAGACTACAAACACCTCGATTATTCCGGATACGTGTTGGAAGCGAACCGAATTTGGGTTCAAGGTTGTTACGTACTGTCATCGAAGCGAGGGTAAATCATGTTAGTCCGTTGGCGCGCTTGTAGGATCGATGTCCGTCCAATATGGCAAACATGGATCTTGCGCCACAAATCCGCATTCGGGTCTTGGGTGCGTTGTGTCAGGCAGGTAATTTGTACAACTTACGACACTTGGTACAAACGTGAGTTGACCAAGGCTCCGTGAACATGTTGGGATGTGTCCATTAACCATCCACCCATTCATTCGCAACTCCAAATCACAGTACTACCTAGTTAGCAAGTAGAAACAAATGCTTTTGCCCAACATCCTTCACCGGGCTGGCCCTTTGCTCTTCCCTCCTGATGCCATCGCCCTGCCGCCCACAACCCTCTATGACAGAAACATGCACCGTCAGCACAGGAAATATCACTGTCCCTCAGACCGGGCAACAAACGAGCAATGGAATGCCCCGGCGGGTGTTGCAGGTGACTTCCACTAGTTGAGTGGTGTCGAAAGGAAACCCGGTAACGGACCTCGACCGCACGCTCGTGGGAGGATTGCGTGCAGTTATGCACATGTTACTGCTGTGTATTGGTGCAATAAATAAGCCGTCCGCAATTTCCAGCGCTCTACTTCTCAATAACTCCTTCACGACCTTGGCGTACAGGCAGCAGTAAATGTGAATCGATTTGGCTGATAATATCATCAAATATACAGAACCCTTACACAAGGAGCTCGACTCGTACCAAGTAATTGCTCAAGATGTCAATCTGCTCAGGAAGAATCTAGCGCGTTGGTCATTAACGAGATGGGCGGAAAGGTCAAGATGAATGACGGATGGAGTGTGGGTGGTTGTGAGGTCTGAGAAGTGTTGAGGCTCAAACGGGGATAGAGTTGCGCCGAAGGGGGCTGAGGTTACCTATGGTCTGTTTCCTTGCGGGAGCGAGCCGTAAAACTCCACTCTCCAGGCTTTGGGGGGCATCCAGCCGGGGCCGTCATCGGCAGAGTGAAGTTTGTCTTATCTGTACGATTATCGGCAGTTGTTACTTGGCGCTGTCCACCTAGCAGCATGGTGCTCAAACTTTTCTGGACGAGTCGAGAGTATTATTTGGAAGACAGGTGAGCGTGAATATGATGACTACCGTTCTTGCCGTGCTGTGGTAGTTATGGGGTTTGGAAGTTTCGACTTTTGTATTGGTGTTTGCGAGCTGTTGGGGTTTTCCGAGATAACAACCCCAAGCTTCATGCGGGACAAGGTCTTGTGTGACCGGCGCTGAAATTTATCATACCCTGATAAAGTTTACCGCAGGACGTCCGGGGCTGAGGGAATAGCTTCAGAAGGCTATAATAAGTCAGTATATAACGATAGCATACTGCGGTTCGTTATCATAGATATATGACCTAAAATTCAGCCAACGAGCCACTTGTATTCGTCCCCACGGATCCTAGGACATGATTGATGACGGTGATAGATTGTGAAGAGGTCAAATAGTACTGCGAAAGTCGGAGCAGATAGCCTCGATAGCGTCGAAATACACTACAAGGGTGATGTTAGTGCACCTGCCAATCAAGGATAGTGTAACCAGCACGTGGGCATCGGGTACAGTACTCACAATACGTAGCCGGTACCCGTCCTCTAGGTGCCTCTTCTGGTCCGACCTTCTGTCCTTGTTTGCATCTTCAAGGCTACCTAGGTAGGTATATCATATTACAAGTACCTGTCAGAACTGTATGCATCACCACCTTTGTCGCGTCGAGCAGCATGTGCCGTGCTCGCGGTCCATAACATCGGGACCTGAGATGATCGGCGCCGATTGCAAGCCTTCTTTGCAGCTGCCTTTTTGGGGATCCGACATCCGAGTTATTGACGTCCATCAACCCCACAACCCGCAAACCCTAGTGCTATCGTGGACACAACTCCGACTAGCTTGCCACCAAGCCACCGCATCGGCAGATATCGATGGCTCGCTTCTACAATACGCGTGTAGAAGGACTGACTTTAAAAATGGTGGACGGCGCCGTGGACCAGCAATGGCTGGCTTTCCTGCTGCTCACGGTTTCCGAGTCTCTTCTTGTTCCTCAGCAGCCTGAACGCCCATCACCATGAAGACCTCTGTTGTCCTCCCCGTCGTCCTCCTCCAGGCCGCCACCGTTAGCGCCTGGGGCAAGCTCGGCCATGCTACCGTCGCGTCTGTTGCTCAGCAGTATCTCACCCCCAACACCGTGAAGCAGGTCCAGACCATCTTGGGCGACAACTCGACCAGTTATATGGGCAACATTGCGTCGTGGGCTGACTCTTTCCGCTATGAGTCGGCGGCTAATGCGTGGTCTGCCGGTCTTCATTTCGTGAACGGCCATGACGCCCCTCCCCCGGAGAGCTGCCACCTTGTCCTCCCGGAGGACTGCCCTCCTGAGGGCTGTGTCGTTTCCGCTATCGGAAACTACGTTAGTTGACCTCAAACTATGCCATGGTGTAGAGTGAAAGGCAGATTGACTAACCAGGGCATGTTTTGTAGACCGAGCGTGTGCAGATGAAGAACATCACCGCCGACCAAAAGGCGCAGGCTCTCAAGTTCATCGTCCACTTCTTGGGTGATATCGCCCAGCCTCTGCACACCGAAGGCTTCGGCGAGGGAGCCAACAACATTACCGTCACCTTCCAGGGCTACAAGACCAACTTGCACGCCGCCTGGGACACCTCAATCCCCAACGCCATGCTCGGCATCTCCCCTCCGACCAGCGCCGCCAACATCACCAGCGCCGACTTTTTGGGATGGGCCAACAACCTCGCCGCCAAGATCAACCAAGGTCAGTATCGCAAGGACGTCCGCAGGTGGTTGCGTTACCACTCGGTCGCCACCAGGAAGGCTTCCGAGCGCGCGGCTGCCGCTTGGGCCCAAGACGGCAATGAGGAGGTCTGCCACTACGTCATGAAGGTTCCCGGAAACCAGCTGAACGGTACCGAGATTGGTGGTGATTACTACAAGGGCGCTACGGAGGTTGTTGAGCGCAGCATTATCAAGGGCGGCATCAGACTGGCGGGCTGGTTGAACTTGATTTTTGACAACCGCACCGGCTTCGAGTTCTGGCACTAAATTGGTGCGAGACTTTGTAGCTGTGTGAAAGTCGGTACTAGTCTATTGCTGTTAGAAGGGTGACTGATGGGCTGCAATACATAAATTGTGTGATACCCTAGAGGCTTTTTCGTTTCCCAGTTGTGATGAATGACTTGGAATGTGTATGGAAAACGGACTTCCTCTTTATGTTGTATCTCAAAGATGACAGTGGTCGTCCTCCATCAAATTTGCTTGACATATTGGTCACTTGGCAACTCTGTGCTTCAATGGAAAGGTCAATGGAAAATTGATAACACACGAAGCAGCCGATGACTGATCGACGTATAGCGCTTGATGCTCGACTCGCTAATGGTTCATAGGTGTGACTAGTTAACGGGTTAATTTTGTAGACCTGACGAGTATCGAACTTATTGTTGAAGAAGACTCGATACATTTCTTGGCCATATGGCTGATTATGACACCCGGCTTCAAACCTGCGTCGGGTCTAAGGGTGGTGTTGACATTTGCGAGACATTGGTAGGCAGTCAAAGCAAATAGAGCAAGAGTACATGTTGTGAGACTTGCTGTTTAAGACATGTGCAGAGGCTGGAAAGTGTGTATGCGAGCTTGATAGCGTCGTTTCAGACCAAAGTTCTAGAAGCAGGGAGAGAAGGCATTGGAATTATTTGTCATTGCCATAGAGTACTTGGATTTCGTTTCAATGCTTAAGTGCTCGCATTAGCACCGCGGAATGTGGGGAGTAGAGAGACACTAGATGGCAGGAGGGAGGTTAGCATTCCAACTCCAACTCCCAGCCACGATATTTGCAACCTCCGCACACTCGCACACGTCACCGACAGCTTTCGAATGGACCGCCAGCCATTTATAAGATGTATGCCCATGATCGGGCGAGGTGAGGTGTAGAGGTCAACGGATTACCAAAGCACTGCCAACAAGTCTCTTCACCACCATGAACCTGACGCATTTTCTCCCTTGGAGCCTCTTACTTCTCCTTCACTCAGTCCTCTCAGCCCCTTCACGCACTTGCCATGAGAGAAGCATCAACCATCAAGACATATGCGAGGACAATGCCCTCCTGCAACTGCTCGAGCCAGTCGCCAAACCCGACACAAACCGGAAGCTGGCTGAGTCCTTTTGCTCGTCTTACTTTGCAGGTTCAGCAGTTATGCGACCCGTTCAGATTCCCCAAGCCACATCTCGAGTCACTACAATGACTCCCCCACCAGCAGTCTCACCAAATCCGATAGTTGAACCTTCAAAGATGCGCCTCGCAGGCCACAATATATACGAGGGAGATAACGAGGACAGCGACGACAGCGAACCGGATATGACCACAATAACAGTCACCACAACCGTCACCGGAACGATTACTAGGACCATGATTCCGACCACGACGGTGACCAATACCCTAGTGAAGTCCATGAATGGCAACCATAATACACCGGCAACCACATCAGCCAGAGCCAGCGGAGCTCTTCCCCGGCTGGGTCGACGGCGAAGGGTGGTAGCAAGGGCGCCGCCCATGATGGAACACTGTCCTCAAGCGTGGCGGGGCCGACCGGAAGATCAAATACGGAGGGCATGTGCATGTCTCGTTGGGCAAGGAAAGGGAACAATTGTACTTTCGAGGGCTGAGGGATCCACGGTGGTCATGACGGCGCCGGCTCCGTCACCCGATGTTTCGTCATTTGCCGGATGAGTTGATTTCAGGTAAGTGGTCCGATCAAGGTAATTCGTTTTGTGATAATGAGATCATTACTGACTCCTCCGTTCATCATGGCCAGATTTGCAGATGGGCGTTTTGAGTAGCTTTCGGCTGGCTGAGGGATGCTTCGAAAGGCAAAGAGTACCTCTTCAGGGAGAACGAATGTCTCGGTAAGGCTCGAGAGTTGGGGTTGAAGGTGAAGAGTTACTTGATGATTAGAACGATCAGCGGTTTATGGCAGTTGCATCCTGAGAATTGAATGTGAAGTTAAGGTTGTATACTACATGTAGGTAGTATGTAATGGGACTGAATACGAGATCAGTCGAATTGACATCTGAAGATGTTGAAGCAAGGAAATGGAAATTCGGTCCGGTAAAGTGAAAGTGAGAAGAGGGGAATAAAGATGAAGGGAAGGAACCCCATATTTTTCCGAGCTCCATGACCTGAGAGCGCTCGTGACAGAAAACCTGGCACCTTTCGGGCACTTGTAAATGGGCGATCAACCGAATCGTCGTAAGAGTAGCTGCATACTCTCCATTTCCACGCATCTCTATGTAGGCAATTCTTGAATAGAGGAACCTCCAAATGACTTTTTGCAATATGCTTTCGAATTATTATAATGACCATCCAAGTTTATAAAAGCTTCTCCTAACCGAAGCGAGCCGTATCGGTTGGACTGTCCATATTCGGTTCATTCGACCATTTCATTAGAGGAACTGAAGGTGCCAGCTTTTTTGTCAATGGCGTCCATGCTGGGCCGGAGGTACCTACTCTAGCCCGAGTCTAGGGTAGCTTATCTGGGATCCGATAAGGGAACCTGCTTGGCGCCTGGGGTCCAGCTTCCAGCGCTGCTGTGCCTTCCCCAATGGTGCGGTAATGAGCCGGGCTATAGACAGACTACCCCCATCCCCTATTTCTAGACTACTTAACCGCTTAGGGCATGGCTCTGAGGAATTTGACCAATCTTTTCAATTGCTAACATCCCACTGCAAAAATCAGGTAAAAGTCTGTTAGCTCACGACCGGTCATTTTCGCAAGTTCCTCCAAGAAATAGTTGGTCACTTCTCTTGTCACTCTGGTCAGGGCAATGCACTTTCACCAAATGCACCCCCCCCCCCCCCCCCCAAAACAAAATTGAGAAAAAAAAAGGAAAGATAGAAAGAAAATGAGTCCGGTCAAACTCAGATCTCAACTAAGCGAAAGCTTCAATATAAATTACTACGGAATGCATCTTCCTACCCGGGCGAAGACTGAGGACTCTACACTTCTTTGGCCTATTGCAAACCCTTTTTCTTTTGTACGGCGGAGAAAAGCTGAGAAGCCTTGCCCTAAGCGGTTAAGTAGTCTAGATATAGGGAAGGGGGGTAGTCTGTCTATAGCCCGCCTCTGCGGTAATACCCCTAAACAGCCCTACAAGCCCCCCACTTGGCAAACCACAGGCGCATGCACTAACAGTTTGGTTTGACGTCAAACGCAACTGCCGCGGGAGGGAAATGGAAGTCGAATTCGAGAATCGAGACCAACGAAACCTCGAACAACAACACTGACCGGCCACCAGCCTACTATCTCGATGACGACCGCCGATTACGCTGAATAATACCACCGGACTCGCGTCGCCGTCTGACGTGGCTTTCCATTGTTCCCATCCTCAAGTCTCGGTGCCCCCCGACCGGACCTTTGAGACTATCGCGACCTCGTCCCCCTCCCACGGTCATCGCATCGCCCACGGCACCACAACCACAACCACAACCTCCCCACAGTTAGTCGCAAATACCGGCCAATTGATCGGTAAGATGGCCAAAAAGAAAAAGTCTACCTCAGTCGAGGACAACGCCAGTGAGGTACAGTCGCCTGCTGTCCCCGCGACCCAAGATCCCTCAAGTCGAAGTGGAAGTGGAAGTGGAAGTGGAAGCAACAAGACGGCAAAGACCAAGGCCCAGCCACAACAGCAACCGCCTCCGGTGCCGGCACTCATCATCTGTCGGAATAAGTGCGCCGTTCCCCTCCGCGACCCATAGCACTGCCAATTGGCCCAAGGAAGAGCCATCTTTGCCCGTCCTTGATCTTCTTCAAGTCCATGTCTTGCGCTCTTGACCTCCTTCCTTTGACCTTCTCCATATGCGCCCAGCGAGCACTTGAACCATAGACTGACTTCCGTCCTTGATATTAACCAGGCATTGGCGCTATATCTCGTCGTTTCACGGCCCATGGCTTCAGCTCCCTCCTGAGATCCTCGAGACTCTGGCCAACTTGAACTATAATACCCCACGGCCGCGGCCCATCGATCCGTCCGTCTTCTTTGATCTTGTCAAGATCCGCCGCCTCGTCGACGATGCTACGAATTTGGCTGTTCGTGCCGCCAGTGGTGTCGCAACGGTCTCCCAGCACAGCATGTCCGGTGGCCACCATCATGCGCTGGGACTGTTTGGACCTGGAGGGCAAACGAAGCTCAGTCGAGAAAGAAAACACCGAATGAGAGAACAGGCGACCCAGAAGCTTTCCAAAGCATATCACCTAGATGAGATAGCGTCGAGTGTGGCTACAATGCAAAGCGCCTCTCCCCTTGAGGAGGTGGCCTCGCTTGTACTCCAGCGCAACCCCCAGGATGCCGACGCCAAATACGTACACTTCTTCCACGAGAAAATCCCGAGTAGGCAGCTGGCCCAGTGCACCAACCTGGATGCTCTGAGTGAAATTATATCAGAGAAATCCACCCAGGGAGAGCCTTTAAGGACTCGCGCCACTGTGAGGACTTTCAAGGAGGACTTTGAGGGCGCCATTGCCGATTTGACAGAAGCCCTCAGGATACATCGGGTTTACCGGTTACCACAAAATGCTCCAAAGCACCACAATCTTCCTCAAGCCCGACCTGGCGGACGGAAACAGGAGGATGTGGTGCTCAAGGAGGAGGAGCAGCCTAATAGCTTGGAAATTCAGCTATTGTTCCAACGCGCTGGTGTCTATCTGACCATTGCCTGTCAGCACGTCCAAGCTGCCTTCCCCTCTAAACCTGCCGAAACCAAATCTGCTACAGGAAAAGCTGCGAATGGTGATATATATGAAGAAGGCAATGAGACCGGCTCACAGGCGACAACACAGGCCATACCCGTGTTAACAACTGCCGAGCAAGAGGTCGAGAAAAAGATGATGGAGGCGAGGAAGCTCGTCCGTCACAACGCCAAGCGTGCGCTGAAAGACTACATGAACTATCTGTCGCACTTTGAGTACTCGCCTGACCTACCCATTGAGATTGCCGAAGATTTTGCCCGGAAAGTCAACTACGCCGCTAATGGGGTTCGTGTCCCTCGGTCATTCTCTCATGCTTCCCGTTCTGACTCTCCCGTGACCGGTGAACCTGGCGAGAGCCAACCTACTCACCGCATTTATGCTCTCTCGGACCTGTTCGCGGCGTCTCCCCCGGCTGACCTGCCTCCATATCCTAGCACGGAGCTTACACCAGTACGTACGCAGCAACAACAGCCCACATTCGCTACCTTCCAGACAACAACGGAGACTCTCACTTATCATCCTCTAATGAACGACGCATTACATGCTCTTCTCCTCTGTCACTGTCTTATCCAGACCTCAACCAAGGAGCTCCTTCGACACGCCTACATGGTAGCACGACTGGCGCGCCTTGCCGATGGTTACCCAATCTTCCAAGCTAGTCGCTCACCAGCCCGCGCCGACTGGACCGAGGTTCTCCGAGCGTCCGGCAACCTCATCCAGCTAGCCGGGACATGGGAGGACCTCTGCGCCCCAGCACCTCTCCCACTTTTCCAGCCTTCAGGCCCCGGCGGCGGCGGATCAGTACCGATAGCGTTGCCAGGCCCCATCAGACAAAACAAAACCCTTCTGCCACCTCCGACCGGGGGTCCGGCAGAAGCAGGAGCCATCGTGCGTTCAACCTCCAGCAACGGTAGCACCGGCGGCGCCGAGGCTGAGAAGCATCGCAAGGAACGTATCCAACACCAAGCCATCATCGACGCCCTGGGCGATGATCGAATCAAAGACGAAGCATCTTTTCGCATGGCCGTCAAAGCCCGTCAACTGCGTGCGGAAAACGATTACAGGCTTGATAACGCCGTGGCAGCCATGGACGCCAAGTTCATCGGGCGTGATTTCGAGTCTCTTGCTTTGGATGCACCACCGCCGCCAAAAGATACCACTACCGCAACCAACGGATCCAAACCTACGTCACATCCCACCAACGGCTCAAGCTCAACCTCAACAGCACTACTAACCCGTACCACCTCGAGTATCGCTAACGGCACGACGACGGCAAACACAAACGGAGTCACCAAACCCCCTAACCACAACAACAACAACACAGTCAACGGCAGCGGAATAGTTCAAGCCCAAACCCAACCAGCACAGACACAAAACATGCGTCGCTGGTCCGTCGACGACGGCAAAGAGTATCCCATCTCCACGGATCGCGCCTCGGCCATTGCGCGCTGGGTGTTGGAGGCACCGCCTAATGCTGGGCTGAGTACGGGTGCGGGAGGGGATGGAACGGCTCGGAGGAAGAAGAAGAAGGTGATTTCGAAGAATAGAGCTGGCTCTGGGTTTGCCGTTGGGCTTGGGACTGGAGTTGGGGTTGCAGTCTCTGGGGAGGGTTGTACGGCTGATGCGTAGGTAGTACTAGTTCCTGCTTAGGAACCAGAGGCACGATCGGTTTTTTATTTCTTCTGGTGGACCAAGTAAGTATTCTCCTGGAGGTACATACCTATATCGAACAATGAGAGAGAGAGTAGCTCTTGTATTGGGTGGCATTGGTTATGGGATGTAGTAATGTGTAGAGCTAGGTAGCGAAGATGTAACACCGCACTATTCTACATTTTTCAAGTTATTTCTTTGTTTTGGGGCGAAGGGTGGAGGGTGGAAGCGTGTGCCTACCTCTCTACATTAAGTTGTTTCTGCCCTTGACGATCCGTCGACAATTGGTACAACTGTTAGTTGCATGTCGTATCACTAACAGACTTGCACACTTATAAGCTGTCAATGTGCTAAGGCTGGATATGAGCATATCTTGGCATTCTTTTTTTTCTTGGTTTTATAAACCTGCTCATCTTACCCTCAAAAGCTAGTTTAATCACCTTGAAGCAGCTAATTGTCAAAATTCTCTTCAATGTATCATATACCACAGCTACCTGCATCCAGTTACCGAATATATCCAAAGAACTGACTCCCTACACCAACCAACCAACTAACCAAATCAGATCTTGCCGCCCCATCCGCGTTACCCTTTCTCCCTTCAAGCCCAACTCCCTTCGTTCCAAGATAGGTATTATCCAAAACCCACCGTCAAACCAATAGGCTCACTCACGCTCAAATTCACAACTCACGAAGTCTCCATCTTCAAAAACATATCAATCTCCGCCATTCCCTCCGTCTCCAACACATCCATCAACTCATCCTGCTGTTCCTGGCTTAGACTTCCCTGTCTCTGATCCGACCAGTGAGTCGCCCAGACGTTGTTCATGTTGCTGTTATTGTTTGGCGGCAGCCCTCCTCCCATGCTACCGCTATGAGGCGGGGGCGGCTGAGCTCCCCAGGGTGATCCCATGCCTAGACCACCACCAGCGCCCAAACCGTTGGGGTTATTGTTGCTATTATTGTTGTTGGTGTTAGCCCAACCAGGTCCCCACCCGTTTGAAGTAGGCGGTGGACCGCGGTTGAGCGAGTAATTGTCGCTAAACCGCGTGAGCCAGAGGCCGAGACCGGGGTTGAGCATGACGTCATTGGCTGTTCCGGAAATGCTGATGCTGCCTCTGCTTGAGGAGAAGGTGTGCGGTGAGAGGAGAGGAGGCGGGGGGTTGAACCAGGCTTGTTGTGCCGTTGTTGTCGGTATTAGCGGTGGTGCGTGTTGCGGGAGGGGCATCACTGGGCTAGGGGCGAGGTGGTAGGAGGTGAGAGGCTCTGTCGTGATTGGTAGAGTATTGACGGGGACGTGTACTGGTGCTTGCGGAAGAGTTGTGGGTGGGTTGAATGCTCCCGGCATGGCAATCGGAGTCGAGGGGTCTGTCGGGGGTGATATCGATGGTTCGAAACGTCCTGTTGGTGGCCCTTGTGCGTCTACTGGGGCGTTATGGTTAACAGAAGTGGTAGATTCAGGGGCCCAGTGAGAGAGCCTTCGGCCTGGATCCGTCGAGGGACTTCCAAAAATCGAGTTTGAGCGGAACATGGGTTGGGAAGGGCGGAATGGTGTGTTTTGGAGATCTGTTGGCGGCTCCGGCTCAGGAGTGCCGTCGAAGACATAGCGGAAGCTAGGAGCCCGGAATATCGGTGTTTCCTTATCCTGGGGCGTTTGTGTTGCTTGCGGTGTTGCGAACATGTCTGGATCGGACATGTTGGAGTTCAGCAAGCCAGGCTGGCCAAACCCACTCGCGTTCGGCAAGTGCTCAAAACCCGGCGTAGGACTGATGGGTTCCTCCTTAATGTGATAGCGACGTAGGGAGACCGAGATCAAGACGTCGTAAAATTCCGAAACGGCTTGTGGTTCTGGCAAGAATTCGGAGCATTGGGCAAATATTTCCAGCGCAGTCTCCGTGATGTCTTTGACTTCATCTGCGGAGTGGTCGGCTCGAACCTCGGCGTAGGAAACGGACCACAGCAGAGTACTCAACGCTGTGTGGATAGTCGATAGGAATATATATGTGACGTCGACGGCCGATGCCTTGATTTGTGTGCTCGAAATCGCAATAACTTCGCGGGACGCGTCATAGCACTTGGCGGCGGCGGTAGCAGACGGGTCTGGTATTTGCGGTGATGGGCGATATAGAGAGATCATCATGTTGTGGAAGTAGAATGCAAACCTAGGGATTCTTGAGTCAGCGATAAAACAGAAAGCAATGCATATGGACGGGAAACATACAAGGATTTGCACCATGGCTCGGCCTTCTCAGGGGCAGAATCCCGCCAATCCTCCAGCTTTTTCTGCATCTTGGCAACCCAGCAATGTTCTTCGCTATTGACATTGGGCATGGTTTGCTCGTACAAGACTCGTCGTATCTCTGCTTGCAGAAGGGTCATCTTGCAAAAGTGGATAGCTACCAACTTTCTCACACAAGTGGGCCCGGACTCGATGCCATCCGCGGTGATATTCTCATCCGGGAGGCTTTCAAAGAACTTGAGGTTGATCGCATCATGACTCTTGGAAAAGCCGTTTGGCCTTCCGGTGATGTACGCCAAGCCCAATTCGTTGTTGACCGTCACCCAAGCCAGTCGCCTTCGCATATCGAGTGTCTGCTCATCAACCCCCGAGGAAATGGTTTGTTCGTCAACAATGTTAAGCTGCTGGCAAAGCTTGGTCGCCAATCCGGCAATGTAATAGCCAGGTGCTTTGTAGGGGCACAATAGGTAGTATTGAGCCAGTAAAATGATGCACTGTAGCGATTTGAGGTCTCGCGGCTGTATGACTTGCCAGAAGTACTCTGTGGCGGCGATGTAGAAACTGTCGGCGAGACCGGCGAACTGCGACGACAATTTGCGCAAACCTATGGCAAACACCATGTGTACCACAAACCTCTTGTAGGGGTCCTTGTCGCCGCTGTACACGTCGTTGACGTTTTCCTCAAGGATCTTTTCGTGGAGGATTGGCGCCCATATCTGTGCTCTCTGAATGTAGACCTCGAGAAGCCTGTCGGCTGTGGCGCGCTTTGGCAGTTGCTGAACCGGAATCTCACTGATCAAGGGGTAGCTTTTTTTGCGCCCTGTCGAAATGCTCTGCATACGGTTTGCCCTATCGACTCGCCGGGTAACGCTCTCGGATAACAGATTGGCAAACGACTCGGATTCCATATAGCGCTTAGCCTCTTCCATTAATGTTCGCTGTAGACCGACACCACTGCTGGGCCCAAACCAGTAAGAGATCTCATCGGTCACGTTGGGCCGCACCAGGCTGCTGGATAGATCGGGACTCTGTCGGCGATCCTGTGGGTCTGGTTCATCGGTCTTGAACTGAGCAAGTTCGTCGGTAAGGCGGCGTAGCTTGTCCCGCAGCTTGACAACGTAAGAACGGCTGACCTTCCTTTGCAAGGTCGAGTCCCAGTATTCGCAAACGGCGCCCGCGCGCTCGCAAGGCATGCATCGAGGTAAGGAGGTACCGCATCTGGTTTTCCGCTACAAACAAAGTCTCGGATTAGAGCAAGGCAGACTCGATGACGACGGGGAAGAGACGTACCTGACGACATCTGCAGCATGCTGTCAACGTGTATCCCAGGTTGGAGGCATCGCGGCGTTGGGGGCGAGGGGCGGCAGGCCTGGGTGCGGCGTGTTGTTGAGTGGGAAAGGGGAAGTATGAGGGCGTGGCTTGTGGTTGTGGGTGTAGGTGTTGCTGTGAAGATCTTCGTTCGGCGATAGAGCCCAGGGCCCGGCGGACGATCTCGGCAGCATCCATGGGCTGGCTGGCTGCTGGCTGGGGGTGAGGTTGTAGAGACAAGCAGGCGGGGGTTGAAGTCGTCGAGGCAGTTCAGGTTCAGGTTGTACCACAGCTCAAGATTCCCACTGCGCGCACGTGGAGCATGGCGGACGGGCGGGAGGCGCCTCGGAGGTGGTTGTTGACTAGAAGGTGGATAAGGTATATGAGCGACTCTCGAGGGCCTGATGAAGACGGGAATCGAAAGGGCAGAGCTGAATTGGTGAAGAGGCTCTCGGCTTGTCAAAGTGTTGAGGTTGTTTGGTGGTTGCCCTGCGACTTTGCAAGTGACACACGCTGGGCCTCCTCAGGCCTGTCCAAACGCTGGGCTAGCGTAGAATGTGGGCGGAAGATGTGGGTTGGTGAAGTGGGGGAGATTCATGGTGGGAACGCCGTGCCAGCGGCAGGGTTCCTCGATCGGCTAGGGTACGAACAGGGGCGGGCAGTTACAGGGCAACGATACGTGAGTTAGGGGCCCGTATTCTGGACCGCCTCGGCTGAGTAACATGCCCGGTCACCTCGTCGTGAGAAGAAGGGTCGGGTGGTGGTGGACGGGCGGGAGTGTGCAGCGAGGCCGGCGTGGCAGACCGCGGGAGGGACGAGAGAGGGCAATTCGTTAGGTTCCATGGATGGGATGGCGGGCAGTGGTGGTTGCGGGTCGTTGGAGATGGCAGAGTGAGAATAGCATTCAGTTCCGGGCGGCGCCTACACTATTTCTCTACCGGCCCGATAGGCGCACTTATCTCACCCAATGCATATGGAGACGTACACTATACAGAATCGGGTAGGCAAGTGGAGATATGCAACAGTTACACCCGACAGCTCATTTGGGTACCTGTAACTAGGTACATAAGTACAGTCAAGTCTGCAATTAACGATATTTGGTCACCCCCTGGATCTGATCGTTATTCCCAGATTATCGTTACACTAAGATTTTGGTGTAAAATCATGATTTTGAGCTAGAATCATTATTTTTATGTTATTTTGAGTCAGAAACTGCTAAAAATAGTGTATTTAATCTAGTAAACGTTGCCTATACAGATTTGTATAGTTTACTATTTCTTGAAGTATAAATTTAATGTGGTCTAAGGTGCGTTAATTTTTTTAAGTAACGACTGCTTAATTAGTCTCTTTTGTACCTGTCGAAATAAAGCTATATTTATTAAGTTGACTATTATCGATTACTCTTTGTATTAAATAACTATTATAATAGCTTTAAGCGTAGTTGTAAGCAATATAGTAGGTAATTCTTATTATTCTAATTGGTTATTATTATCTTCTCTTATTACTAGTGAAAAGGTTTTAGCTATATAGTGTAAGGGATCTATAAGGTATACATGTAAGTAGGCCTTGAAAACAGCTTGAAATAATTAACAAAGAGGAAAAGGGAAGTCTGTGCTAGTAAGACACAGAGCTTCTAGCTAAATACACGAGAAGCGTAGTTATTGAAGGTGCTAGAAATGCTAAGGCCAGAAATGTAGCCCCTGCGCTGCACCCGAGGGATGCACCCAATGGCACGTAGTACATCTGGCGCTAAGACGGCTGCCGACAGCCGACCGGCCCGTACACCCAACTAGAGGGCACGCCTAACTTATATGCTAGGCAAATAATACCCCTAGGCGCCAGCCCCGTAATATATAGGTAATAAAATTATTTAAGCTATTAATAATAGTCTTGTTTGGAGAGTTAATAAAGTTAATAATATTTATTATAGTTTTAATAGTCCTAGTACATACTAAACTCTCTTTTAATTCTATTATCTTACTAGAATCTATATCAGTAGAGAAAACTTTTAGAATTTATTGTACTAGCGTAATAGTAGTAGTTTTAATACTATAGTGATCTTTATTAATAGTTATTGGGTTAATCCGTTTAATTGGCTTTTTATTAGGACTTTGAATAGTGCTAAATAGAGTAGACTTTTTTTAATAGTTATTAATTATAATAGTAGTAACCTTATTCTGCTAAGTATTAATAACTTAGTAAATTGCTTATAAAATAGTAGTATTCTTAAAGGGATTATAGCCCACTAATATTAGGTTGACTATGTGTTGAAGCTAGAGCTTCCTATAATTGACCTTTATATTATTAATAATTCTTTAATTTATAGGTTAATATAGGAAGGTGGTATTAGTAAGTAGAATAACAATAGTACTATTATATAAAGTATAATTTCTATCACTCTCTTAAAGCTATTTAAGTATAGAAGTATGAGCGTTAAATTTATTTATTAGAAGGAGTACCTTCCTACCCTCTATTTAGCAATCGAACTAAAATAGATACTCTATAAAAATAATTACTATTATTTATACCTTCTTGTAAATTACTATGTAAAGGGGAGTCTAATAATATATTTACTATTTTTACCAAAGGTACGAAGGTTCTTAAAATAGTTAATAATTTAGAGGTTAAATTTATAATTATTTAATATATTAATAGTTAGTATACCTATAATATAGTTCTTCTTTTTCTTACTACCTAATTGTATTTAGGTAGCGAGAGTAAAATTAGGGGTAAATAATTAGAAGAGGCTAGTTTCATCCGTATTATAAATATTATTAGAAAGATATTATTTAATAATTTATTTAATATACTTGATTTTATCGATAGAGCTGTTGACGTCGGTAGACCCTAATTCCCCGGATTGCTTATACTACTTAATACTATAACGGCGCTTAAATCCGGCCAGCTAACCAGTAGAGAATTTTGGTTTATTAAGGGAGTTAAAATTGGGTATTAAATTCTATGGCACTTTAGTAGTAGCTTAGATTATATTTCCTATAATTAACAATTGGGAACCCTCTATATGAAGTACCTATTTATAAAGTGCTTTCTTAAGGATAGGACAGTCAGCCTTATGGATTTTGGTAATACTAATATAGCTTTGAGCGAATATCTTTATATTAAAATAATTCTATTTAGGTTTAAGGGACTCACTAACGGTAGACTAGCTAATTTTGTAGCCGAACTCGCGAATTATCTAGGTAGTTACATCGCGTTGGGTAGTAGTAATACGCTTTATATATTAGCGGATAGCTTATTACTGGAACTCGCTGAGGGCATAGCGACGGGGGCCGACGTTTTTTGAAAGCTTAGACATAGTAGAGTATTAAATATAATAATTAAGGAATATACTAGTAGAGTTGTAGAGTAATCTGTGAATTAAGGAAGTTTATTAGTAATTAAAAAGGGTGATTTTTGAGCAATTTATTGATGTGCTAGCAAAAGAGGAGAAAGAGGGGATGGAGGAGGTTATGCCTAGTTAGACTAGCCCAGTTTGTACATTGGGTGGTTGTATTAAAATTGGGTAAAAATAATGATTAAATACTAGGTTATGTGTATTATTAAGCAGGATTTTAATCATAATCTCAATACAGAATATATCATTATACTACTGAAATCTCCATATAAATGGAACGGTGGCAGTGAAATTGAACATTATAGCCAGATTATCGTTATACCTCATATCGTTAATTGCAGACTTGACTGTAGTTAGAAAATCAACATTTTGCAGCCTTGTGTTTTTGTAGCCCCATGTCATTGCAAAGTAAACCCGAGAGTACTCGAGCATAATGATAGACTGCGGAATAGACCGCGTCCATTGTTGTACAAACAAACCCCTTTTGGATTCCATTGACCGGATCATCAGTCCGGCGTTTCCCTTCTGATGCCCAATAACCCCGGTACCCCAGTTTATGATTGAAGCCATGTGGGGCGGGCCAGGGGACGGAGGGAAGAACAGACACATGCAAAACCCTGAAGATCCAAGTCAAGGGGCCTTTCCCCTTGTTTATCCAGCAGTGGAAACAAGGCCTCACGTGACGGACTGTACTCGCGCAGGTACGAAGTGGAAGCAAAGACGAGAAGGCCGAGGAATGCGCAGCGGCAGGTCCCGCGCATGGCATGGATCAAATGCGATTTGGGACTGCTATGTATCGTATTTGGAAGCTTCCAAAGCTTCACCAGTCCTCGTCCCCCTGGTCTCTGCGTCTGGCTGAAACACGGTTGTGGAGGCTGAGGTGCCCCTGACAAAAAAGGACTCGGAAGAGCAAACCGTTGGCGCCTAACCGACAGCTTTTTGTTCACGAGGGTCTGTGAGAGCTGAATAGTGGATATCAGGCACATATGCGAAACTGGCCAGAGGACGCATGGCGGACATGGCCATCCTAGGTGGATTGCATTACCTATGTCAACTTCAAGTGATCCTTTGGTGATGTCTCGTTTGCTTGGACGTATGCCCCCTTTTCACTAGCTCAAGTATTCCATGATGCCACAAGCGATCTCATATTACACTCTGTCTGTCTGTCTGTCTGTCTGCTTGTTGAACCTCAAATGAAGCGGATAAGAGCATAAGAGAGAACCTGAATGGCCCCCGCTTACCCCACCCCCAAGCATGAGTATTTTGTACAAGAGCCTCAGCTTGTAGAGGTACCTACAAAGACGCTGACTAAAGCGTAAAATAACAGTGAAGCTGCGGCCCGGGTTCATCCCACTCCATCACTCTTCGTCCCATCTCTTCTCACTGTTGCCGATCCACACTTGACTTCACATGTCGCATATAACTTGAATGCTGGCTACCAATCGTCTACATCTCATATATATTCGCCAATCCACGAAGCCTGAGCCGTTGTTCAATATTTCCCAATGTCAACACTGTCTTTCAACTGGGATGATGCCCACGCGGACCTCCCCTCAGACTCAGAAGCGACTGAAGAAGACCTTCTCGACAACCCCGTGCTCAAAGTATCGCGCCCAGTCACAGCGTGTACAAGATGTGAGCTAGCCCGAGTATCAACTATAGTTGTGCCCAACATTGACAGCCGAGATATGTAGGCCGAAGTGCCAAGATCAAGTGTGACGGAAAGCTCCCGGCCTGTACCTCATGCGTCAAATTCGGCCGCGAATCCGAGTGCATGCCCATCAGTGAACGCTTCATCCGAGGGAGGGAACCGAATTATGTGAGAGCTCTTGAGGCCAGGGTTGAGAAGCTGGAGAAACAGCTCCATTACGCTCGGTCGCACATGTCCTCGCAGACCCAGCCTGGTCCTGGTTCCGATCCCCCCACTGCTCCCGGCCCTTTGGACCATGGGAACGACGACGAATGGGGTCCAGATCGCCGGGATTCTCTTGACAATATCAGGGTCAACGTTGCTCGGAGGGCAGCACGCCTGCATGGAGATCAAGAGATAGAGCAAGTGATAGCCTCACTGAGCTCAGTGTACGTGATCCCACTGCGTCAACTTGGCCGAACGGTTCCTAATCATCCATGATTTACTCAGAACGATTAACCCCGTATCCCAGGAAGACCACGAGAAGACCCGTCTATCTCTCGCCACCATCATCCTGGCCGCTTCCACCAACAAATTCGTGCCACAGTCCCGTTCTGTTGGACTGCCGCCGTATGACAAGGCCCGAAAGATTGTCGACTTTTACATGAGCAGCGTCCACCAGCTTTATCCGGCCTTTTCTCGACGAATTTTCAACGGCCTTCTCGAAGACATATATCGAACAAGCCAGAGGCAGTTCACATCCCCAGAATACTGGCTCTTTTGGATGGTCCTGGCCATTGGCTCCACAGCCCAGAGCCGGCAGAAGGATGACAGCCACTACCTAGATGGACTCGACTATCTTGCTTGTGCCTTGCCTTTTGCACAAGAAGTCCTTTCACCAGGCAACGTCAAACAGATTCAGTCGCTTTTGCTCCTGACACTTTACTCAACCTACGATCCAGACCACTTTGACACATGGCAGATTCTGGGCTTTACTTGCCGTGCGATCCTCGACCAGGGGCCCTTCGCGGACCCTCCTGAGCATCATGGCATGAGCATAACCGATGTCAAACTCCGTCGACGAATTTTCCGCAGCGCCTACTCCCTAGACAGGTATTGCCCCTCTTACACACCTACTCTCTCTAGTACGTACAGCCTATTAACCGCCCTCTAGAGCCATATCTTTAGCCCATGCCCGCGCCTTTTCCTTCGCCGATGACGCCATCCCCGCCGAAGTCCGCGACGCCCTCGCCGACGACTCGTCCACCGCCGAAACTTCCACCTACCTCTACCGCCTGCGCCGTCTCCAATCCACCTGGTACCAATCCCTCTTCCAAGGCTCGCCCTCGCACCCTTTGCCCGACTCGACCGCCTTCATCTGGCGCATGTGTCACGACATGCACGCCTGGTTTTCCACCCTACCCGTCTCCCACAACCCTTCCATCCGGCAAATGCTCGAACTCGAAATGTATTACAGCCACGTCTTCTGCATTTCGCCTGGCATCCGGTCGCCGCACCTCTCCACCTACGGTGAGCTTCTGATCTTCGAATACGCCATCTCGTACATCAGCGGGCTCTGCGGCCTGGCCGACGCGTCCATAAACACAGCCTTGTATACATTCCACGACGTTCTGCGATTATTCTTTGTCGGCACGCAGTTTGCTGCCATCCTCAGGTCTGATGCCGCGGACATTCTACTCTTTTCACCACACACCATCTCACACTCTGCTTCGCAGCAGGGCGGTGTTACCCCGCCACCTCTGCCTAGGAAGAGGATGTCGGATACTAATACCACCCTTCCCAACATCGACCGGGCTATAACCGCACTAGGACAAATCGGCAAGCTATTAGAGTGGTACGGTGCCCGGTGGGAGGACGCGCTGTCGCTTGGGGAGACATTCCAGATGTATTCACAGGATCTGATGGAGACGCTTAGGGGGAAGAAACAGCAGATGGGGCAGAGGCAGGTGCAACAAGGGCATGTACAGGGCCAAGGACACCTGCAGGGACAAGGACAGGTACAGGCACAGGGACTAGGACGGGCGCATACACAGGGACCGGGTGGATGGGAGAACCAGCAGCAGCAACAACAACATCAACAACACCACCGACAACAATCTTCGGGACCACATCATCGGCCTCCACCGATGCAACAACAGACCTGGCCCCCTGGCGGGTATTCCTTGAACAATGGCCAATAATTTCAGGTTAATTCGAGCTGTTCTTTGCCATATGCCCGGCTCATCCTTTTTGTTTTTTTTTCTTCCGAATTTAATAGCCTGATGTTGTCTACGAGGAGTGGGTGGGAGATGTAAACACCTCCTTTTTCTTTAGCGTTGGGAGGTAGTATGCGCAGCTGTGGCGCTTCCTGGGTCTCCCTATTTCATGGATATGGCAATTTCTTAGGCTTCCTGCAGCTTTCTTCATATGTAGGGTTGTTTTGGATTGGGATACAGATGACTTCGAGGCGGCTTGTTCTTCTTTTACCAACCTATATTAGCAACATGTCAATGCCCATTTCAGCCAGCAAAATGTATCAAGTTACCCTGTCGCCATTTGCTATACATGCCCCTGACTTTGATTTTGTCATGTGACGTAGTATTACTGTTATTTTCGTATTAACTACTACCATCTCCAGTGCACATCTTTGCACAGCACACACGTAGGTACTCATATCCCGTAGGCGTTCGTTGTATGTCTATTGTTGATCCCAAATTGTGTCACAACGGCAGCGATCGCATATAGAACTCGATGTCTATATAGGTACTTTTACTCTTGGCTGAAACTGAAGACTATCTGTTCGTTGGTTCAATTATTACGTATCAGATGGAAAGGGGAGGGCTTGGGATCACTCGCTCACTTAGGGTTCTTGAGATAGAACCCGAACAAAAAGAGTTCGGCCAATCAATTGTTGCGTGTGGAATCTCCTACTCACCTACCTACCTACCTACCTACCTACGCAAGTCTTCCAAGGCACAAAAAAAAAAAACGCTGCTGGCTCGTGCGTATGTAGTTGTAGTCATGCTTCCTCGTGCATCCCAGGCATGGAAGTATATCTATATATAATCGCTGTTCGCAAGCACCCTTAATCTGGATATCGGCTGGCTGGCCGGCTGCTTTTTATGTTTTTCTCGAATGTCTTTTTCCTCTTCTTCTTCGTCTTGCTGATTATCCAACAATTGGAAATCCTGTGGCTTTTGACCGGCCGATCTACTTGTCTTGCAGCGTTGGTGAGTGGGTAGGTAAGTAGTGTAGCTAGCATGGCTGGAATGTAGGTATACGCCCGTGCAGCAACCAAAATGGTGATTCGGGTTCGTCACGTTCCGTGCTTCTCTCTGCCTGTCCGTCGGAGAGGATAGACTTCAGGTGCCGCCCGCTCCGTTGTCTCCTTTGTCTCTTGCTTAGACGGCTCTCCTGGTTGGATTCTTGTAAAGACGCTCCTAGTATTTTTCATTGCTACGCCGGGGCTCTCTGACATGGTTCTTGTGGCGGTGGAAGGGCCGGTATTTGTGTAGTAGGTGGGAGTTCCGTAGGGTGCTCGACAGCTGGTCTCGAGAAGTTGAGAGAACCGGGGCGTGTGTGTGCCCGTGTTGGTATATAGCTAGCTTTGCCCATAGTTGTCGTTGTCGTCGTAAAAGCTGCTTAGTTGTGGTGCTAGTTCGGTCTGTGACCGAAGATGTTTTGAGCAACAAAGTCCAGGGCTGACTACAGTAGACCGTTGGGTGCTATGAGGACAATTCTATCAGAAGGCAAGATCGATGCTAGCGATCTGTCCTCTAGCACATCGATGGATACCCACTTTGTATCGTATTTCAGTTCTAGACTAGTTCTGACGAGGAACCCGCATGTTTCAAGTCCAGTATTTTGCACAATCCGCGCAAACTGAAGTCTCTTTTGCTAAACCCAATATCATAGCGGACGGTAGCCCCGGTATTACCAACTCGAAAACGAACAACTCGGCTCCATTTATCGCGATCCATATTGCTCCCAATATCTTTTACTTTCCCTCAAAGGTCTACTGCAGCTTTCAACTTCTCTTCGCGACAAAGCGATGCCGATCACATAGTACGACGCATGTTTCTACAACGGAACAAGCAACGAAAAGCTTCCAGTCCTACATGCCCGCGGGTTAGCGATCACCAGCTATGTTTCCCCACCTCTAGTCTTCATTCTTGTATCTAGCCCAGACTGATCGTGTCATTAGCTAACTGAAGCTGTTTGGTTTATCCCTGCTTTAGTTTCCCTGTCTCGAATCCATTTGCGCCAACCTTTCCGACGATAATTCAACGAGATCCGGCCTGTGGCATCAGCGCTTCGCCACTAGGCTGTCAAAGCAAACCAGAAAAGAAATCGTCCCACAGCCACGAGGTTCAATTACCGGTTCAAGGGATTCAAGCTGCGTTCAACCAGTCCTATTCATTATGCCGGGCAAACCGACAATACTTAACCACAGCGATGGGTAATTCGCGGGTACCTCGCTAGCTTCCACGTGGCATCCGGAAACGTGACGGGACGGGAAGGAGACCAGATGGAAGGGTAACCGGATGGAAAGTTAGCAGAAGGCAAATTCACGTGCATGACAAAGATGAGACGAGAAATAGTGCAGAGGTATCCATGTTGTATTCATCCAAAAAGCAACTTTCGTCCCGTCTCAAGACGTCTCATTCCTTTTCCTAGTGTATACCCAAACAAAACGATCCCAAAACCAAATTTCCAAAACGCCCGATTCCCGTGGTACCCGATCCCAAGTATAAATATGTCCCCCC